CTTTTCTAGATTTTGATAGGCTCTTAATTCACACCGGAACCGGTTTAGATCTCGACCTTTCTTTGTATATCCGGGATCTCCGTTGTCATGAAACTGAAATGTGAGCGACGGTCAGGGACGAAGTATCCTACACTTACAAGTTTCATGGCATACTTGTCCCCATCAATTTCTACCTCAAATATTGAGGAGGCTTCGGAGCACCCGACTTCTCTGATAATTTTTATATTAGATGGTTTGACGTCCAACAACGCACGTTTACTTAGGCGCATTGTCGTTGTATGAGTTTTGTAGGATGTGAAGTAGATCAAGGGGTGAACTTGTGGCTGGCTGAACTACCGCGCACCGCCACGGTGCACTGGTTTTGCAAACAAGTGTACCTCTCCCCTTGGCAAAAAGTAGTGCAACACATGATTTAGTTTCCAAACATGTCCACTAAAATATTAGATTCCTACCTATTTTCTATTACCACCCTATTAATCTTTGGATAAAATGAAAAGGGAGAGAGATATAGTAAAAAGGGCCTCTGTACTTGCCCTGACTGAAATTTCAGGTAATTCTCTTAGTACTGCAGCTGTGCAATCAGGCCTCTTAAAATCTACTATCTCCCGCGTACGGAAATGCGCCAAAGAGCATGGATAGAAGCCAAATTAGCCTATAAAAGAAGAATTTCTTTAAGATAAGGCTTGTTCAGGAAGGCCTAAGGTTCTATCTAACTAAGATAAATATTATATTAGCTGTTTAATTTGAGATAATCGCCGTACATAAAACCTGGAATGGAAGTAAATTTATATAGAGGTTAAAAGTGTGAATCTAGACCTCCCTAGATGTTAACACATGTTCCAAAATGCTGCATATGAGCTTGGAATTAATAGGTAAACCCTTATTATCTTTAAGATCTTGATTAGATACTTACTAACCTCTCTGGATATCCCTAGATGGCAGTATTCCTGGAAGCCTTGCCTTACTGAAGAGTAAAAGCAGAAGAGATTAGAATGGGCTAAAGACTATGAACACTAGATATTAGATGATTAGGTAAAGATGATCTGGACTGATGAAATAGCTGTTACAACTGGTATATAAGGCCATTAATGTGTATCTGTAACTAAATAAGAGAAATAATCTTACCATCTAGATTAGACTGGTTAAACCCAACCCAAGAACCCGAACCCAACCCGGCCCAAACCCAGGATGGGCTGGGTTGGGCCCTAGGCTACAGGGCCCATGGGCCGGTTGGGTTCTAGAATTAGAACCCATTATGGGTTTGGGTTCTAAAAACGGGTTTTAATTACAATACCTAGTAATTAGATTTCACTAGATTCTAGGCTAGTATACTATATATATATATATACACTAGATGCTAGTATGGTATTGAAAAATTTAATACATACTAACTAGATTAGGCAGGCGGAGAGTGATTTTTGGGTTTGGCAGAACCCAAATGGGTTGACCCCCTAGAACCCACTGGGTTATGGGCTGGGTTTGGGCCCTAGAAATCTAGAACCCGAACCCGGTGGGTTGGGTTCTAAAGATAGGGGAACCCGGCCCAACCCGTGAAAATAACCACCCTAATCTAGATACTGTCTAGTAAAGACATAAGAATCATTCAGATTTTATATTTTAGGGGGCTATTACATATAATTTAAAAGGTCCCTGCTATGTATTCTGTCCAGAGACTGAAGAACAGAGACAGGAGGCTATGTAAAGGAGTAAGGTATATAGGTGCAATCCAGTAGATCAGACCCATTAGGGGATGATCATAATGGCCTTTTTGGCTGAGTGGGAGATTAGGTGGCTGGATTGCCTAGCCTTCACAATATGATCATCCCCTAATGGGTCTGATCTACTGGATTGCACCTATATACCTTACTCCTTTACAACTATCACAATATGATCATCCCCTAATGGGTGGGCGTTCGATTCTTGGCTGAGTGGTTATCTTTCCCTGGGCGGGAAGGGTGGCCTTAGCTACCAGGCGGTGGCAGAATCTAGTGCAATACCAAGATCAGGCCTGCTCATAGGGTAACTAGGGTCCTTATAGGCCCTAGGACCTCCCTAGGGGCCCCCATCTATACTAAAGCCTTAGCTTACTTAGGCTTACCTAGCCCCTATAGAGGCATGAGGGCATGCCTAGAAAGGGAAGGGGTATAGTTGTAAAGGAGTAAGGTATATAGGTGCAATCCAGTAGATCAGACCCATTAGGGGATGATCATAATGGCCTTTTTGGCTGAGTGGGAGATTAGGTGGCTGGATTGCCTAGCCTTCACAGGCTACCTCTAAGATTTCTGTATGGAATATAGAGGTTATACCTTAGCAAAAGGAAGCATTTAAAGGTGTATAGATTCTTTAATCTATATCTAGAGATAGCTGACTAGCTAAGATACCTTACCATATAAAAATCTATGGAAAGTGACTAATATCTATCTATTCTTGATAGGGCAGGAAGCGAACATTTAGACTAAAGCTATTTTAGTAAAAAATTAATGTTAAAGGCATTAACTAGTGATGCTATAAGCAAGAAATCTTAGAGAAGAAGCTATTCCCTTATGCTAGGGAGCTACTTTAGTAATATGACTATATTTATATCCAGGAAGATAATACTCCTGGACACTCTACAGGCCATCTTGATTACATCTGGCAGCGGTCAGGCCTAGTAAAGTATAAAATAATATAGCCTCCTAATAGTCCAGATCTGAATTGTATTAAATCACTCTGGGGCTTTATGAAACAAAGATATTAGGCCCTTTTAAAAGAAGAATTGGAGAAATACTTCTTAAAAGGTTAGGAGGAGGTCCCGCAGGAGATAATCTAGAAGTAGATTGTAAAGATGCCATATTGAATTAAATAGGTTATTAGATTAAAAGGAGGTAATAACTATGATAATTAGATTTCATATATAAATTATATAGCATTCTATATTAGTTAGTTTTGTTGATATTTCATCTTGTAAATAGTTAATGTTTTTGAAAGTTGATTTTAATCACGTGTTGCACTACTTTTTGCCTAGGGGAGGTACAGCTCAATGCAATGCATTATATCAATGCAAAAGGTTTACACATATAAAACTCATTAAAGAAAGGGCAAATAATACAACCACAATAGCAGTAATGAGTATGTGCTAGTACTAGGGGTATTAGTATTTATATACTCTATATGAATACTTAAAAATAAGGAGTTAAAATAGCTTTATTCTATCTATATCACTATTATGCTCATTTTCTTGACATGTAATTTTGGTATTTATGTAACTATAAGGTATTTATAGATATTCCTAAATCCTACTACAGGCTTATTTAGGTGCTTGTAGATAGGTTATATTAGGGAGATCTTATCTCTAGCATTTGTGGTTGTTGAGTAATTTATATTCTATATTGATTTTATATGGGACATTTATTTACGGTGAGATGATGCGTTGATCCCAAACCACCTCTGGCGACGAGTATCATGTATCCTAGGTAGCTCCCCAGAAGTCAGAAAAACATGACTCTATGAGGCTATGAGGAGTCTATCATTCATTTCGATTCCGTCATACCTTTCTCATCGAACCATCCACTCTCATCAATTTTGTCCGTGCCTACCATTCTCAATACCACGTACTACGACTCATATCTACTAAACTCCTAGGAAAGTGCGTCTGGCCTCGGACAGAAACCACCTCTGGCGGGTGCAGTTTATCATTGCCGACTTCGACGACTTGTGTGTTTCTTCAAACATAAGGGATTCCATGCGCCGCTCTCTGGGAAGCTCTGCGCCTCGCACGACCACGATGGATAGGCCTGTTTAACTACTGGTTTTACTATTCATCACTCCTAACTATATAAATGCCTAACTATACAAAACGGCATTCGTCTTTGCTATGAGAAAGGATGGCTCCACTCAGAGCCACTTAGCTGGGATGATATGGACATTTGCTGCGTATTTCCCACCCATCTCCATGCGAAGTATGCCCACGATGCCCCAATCTCACAATGTCAGGTCAAACTAACCTAACAGATATATGGAAGACTTTCTTACGGGCTCGCCCTGTCCATTTCCAAGTGAGGAATACCCTGACATCAAGACGTTAGCCGCAAGCTTCGTGAAGCAATTTTCGCCTCGAGCACTTTCCTCTACCACGAAGATTGCGACTGCCGTTGTTATTTGCCCACTTGAAGCTCTATATCATGATGAGTTTTACCGTGGAATACATGCAGTTCTCGGAACTGCGACAAAGATATCAAGTGGATGGGAGACAACAGTGGAAGGAGTGATTTCAGACTGGTATCCCATGGATGGGGGAGGGAGACCGCTTGGCAGAACATTGTGAGCGATTGCATCCGACGAGTCGTTATTACAAATCCACACAAGATGGGGTGATCCTTGATTGTCGGACCAGCAGACCTCAGCCGTATGGTGGGAAGTGCATTCCACTACGTACCTATTGTATCTCTGCTGCTAAGGTGCCAATCACCCTGCAGGCGCGGGTCACAGCAATCTGTGGCGAGTGGTCTTCACTCCAGACTTCCTTTCAGCAGAGATTTTGGACTCTTCTAATCATGTTGTATTTAAGAGAGCCCCTTGGCGTCACAGCTCCCATGATAATACCTCTGCCTACTAATCCAGGCTATGGCAATGAATGGAACACATGGTTACTGGCTGAGCAAATGGACAATGCACGAGAGCTGGTAATACAATTAGAGGCTTTACCTTAGCTAACTAGGCTGTCTTTTATTGCACACTTATAATCATAACCTTTTATGTTAATGTTGTAAAGTTTTAACAACAAGAGCAATGCGCAAGCCAACCAGTCCTGCAAAATGTTTTCGAGAATCCAACTGGACCGGCAGCAGAATTGTAAGCTCGACATGCAAACAAGATTCAGTTGCTGGACTTCCGTTAATATTCCGTTCCCTTCGGCGTTCGATTCAGAAAGCCATTCCGCCGCCCGCGAACCCCACTCCCCTTCGGGATTCCGATTTGCGACATCAAGCCGACAACTACTACCTTACCATGATCAACTAACAATGAGATCATCTCCATATAGCACAAATCCAAACAAAGGGAAACAGCGAGCACCTCCACGGAAAAAGGCATGTCAGAATTGCACCAAATCCAAAGTACGATGTGGACTGGAAAAGCCTATCTGTTCGCGATGCAGGTCGAAAGGCCGCAGTTGCCAATATCCGCCAGGGCGCGTCGCTGCACCTGGGATTGGGGTCACCGGTACCGCTAACGACGCAGGAGAAGACTATACACCACTTCTTGATATACAGGGATTCGCAGACACCGCTATAGCTCCAGAAACAGTGTCTTTGATTCCCGAATCCGGTCCAGCTGCGGCTTTCAGGTCTCCTCGTGCTCGAGTTGTAACCAGCGGACAGACTAGACGCCTCGGTCTCGTTTTTAAAGATATTGACTTGACTCCTAGTTTAAATGCAGTAGATATCCGGGACAGATGGCTGAGACCGTATCTCCTCCCTCCTCTGGGACGAGATGAGATTCCCAAGGCCTACCACCCCTTTACGTTGCAATACATTTCCGTTATCCTCAAGACATATCCACGTTATATGCTGAAGGATGGCGGATTCCCGCCAATTATACATCATACGCAAGTCAATACGAATCATATGCCACAATCTCTGGCGAACTGCTACAGCCTTGTCCGAATGTGGGAGCAAGCCGCGCCAGGAAGCGAGACGATGGTGATGGGCACTGTGGAGGCGGAAATGGAAAGACTGGCAAGTGAGGTAAGCTTTCTCTCAGGGTTCTGTGGATGGAGAAACTGACTGTACAGACAATGAGTCAACATGACTACGACCTCCTGTGTTCCTTCCAAGCCTACCTTGTCTATACCATCTTGATGTACTTTAGCCCTCTCGGCAACGTCTCCGCAGTTACCGATAAAACCATGATGACCTTAATGGAGCTTGCCTTTCGTACTGCTCAGAATGGCCTATTCTGCACGGCGGAGATTACTCATACACGACCGAGTTGGGAATCCTGGATCGTGGTCTCGGCCAAACGTCGTGCCATCTATACGATGTACTTGCTCAGCAGTGTTTACAATTCGGATCGTGGTCTACCAAATTTTGTGGCAGACGAGATGAAGGGGGTCTATGTCCCCGAAAGCAGGGTACTATGGGAAGCCACAGACCGAGGAGTATGGGAAAAGGAGTATGATCGGCACCTCCTGGAATGGGAAGATGGGATGCTGGAAATATCGGAGTTATGGCGATCAGCCGAGACTCGGTCGACTGAACGACGGGAAAGGATCGGAAAATGGGTTCGAGGGGTGGACGAGTTTGGTATGATGTTGTTCGCGGTCTGCGCGCATATCCATGGCCGCTAAAAAATCCTACGGAACTCCGAAAGCAGTTCATCGGAGCCGCGGAATCGACAGGGTCCTCTGGCGTCAACATCGACATAAAACCCGCTCTCCCTCTCCCTTGCTTGCCAAAGTAAACTCCTTCTCACACATCAATCGATCTCTGGAACACACCTACTACCACAATGTCTAACAAAACCGTCTACACCACCGACCACTCCCCCTCCGTTCTCCAAACCCACAGCTGGCGCACCGCCACCAACTCTGCCGCCTACCTCCTCCCGTACATCAAACCGAGCATGAAAATCCTTGATATAGGCTGCGGCCCGGGTAGCATCAGCATCGACTTTGCACGGCTCGTCCCCCAAGGCCACGTCACGGGGATCGAGTACGTCGCCGACCCGTTAGACGCAGCCCGATCACTCGCCTCCACACAGGGAATCACAAACATTGACTTTCGCGTCGGCGACATCCACGCGCTTGACTTTCCGGACGACACCTTCGACATCGTCCATGTCCACCAGGTGCTACAGCACATCGCGGACCCAGTGCGCGCTCTACGGGAAATGCGCCGGGTTGCGAAGAGTGACGGCGGGATCATCGCGGCGAGGGAGTCGGCAGCGATGACGTGGTACCCTGACAACGCGGGAATCGCTGGATGGAAAGAGGTTACAGGTCGTATGGCTAAAGCAAAAGGGGGCAATCCGCATCCCGGCCGGTTCATCCATGTTTGGGCGGAGGAAGCCGGGTTTGAAAAGGCGAGAATCAAGAAAAGTGCAGGGGCATGGTGCTTTAGTAGTCCCGAGGAAAGGGAGTACTGGGGTGGATCAATGGAATCGAGGATGAGATCGAGTGGATTTTCGAAGACGGCTGTGGAAGACGGATATGCGACGAAGGAGGAGTTGGAGAGGATAGCGCATGGATGGAGGAAGTTTGTCAAGAACGACGAAGCTTGGTTTGGGTTACTCCATGGAGAGATTCTATGCTGGAAATAGCTAGCTCATTGGTTGACACGACCATGAAATAAGTGGTGTATGACAATCAAAACTTAGGATTCCTGATGTAACTGCACCGAGACGCCTTCCGGGAACTGCACCTCCTTCAATTCCTCCAGCGTGACATTATCAGGTACAACGAATCTTCACCTTCAGTCAGCAATATCCTCAACGTCGAAAAGAAAACCATACGAAGTAGTATGTATAGGAGGGAGGCTTCTCGTCGAAATGAAAAACGTGAACTTATCTGCCCCTTTTGCTGCGAACCCGTCCTTCGTACTGTCACCATATCAGTTGCCAATTCAGATGCGATCGCTGAGTATGCATACATTCGTTCAATTTCGCTATTGTGTTTCCGCCATGCTTCGACGCTGTCGTATTGAATGACAAGGCTCTGCTTGGGTTACCTGGCGAAACTTGACGCGATTAGAATTAACTCACGTATTTTGGCATTTTGAGCACCGTTCTAGATAATATGTACCAGCAATGTTAGATAGGCCGAAGGAGCGTTGAAGGTGATGCCGCGGAGCATGTGCTACCGCTATGACATCACTGCCTCGCTTAAATTTGTGAGATATGTTTTTAATAAGATTCTCTGCTCAAACTACATGAACACCACTAACGATCAATTGTTTAAACGGCCTTGCTCGTATGCAAAAACACAAAACCCATCGAAGACCACGAAGACCACGAACAATGCATTACACCCCATCCTCAACATCTACCAATCATCCAAAGGAGGCGAGTGAGCACGCTCCTCACGAGCCAGAACGGTACTCCTCCTCCTCCAACCTCTCCACCCGCTCCTTGAGCTCCTCCTCCTCTTCGTCCTCACCTATATCAAATCAGTCAGCAACTACCCTCAACACAAAACTCACAGCAGCAAAGCAAAAAGCAAACACTCACGCTTCTCGTGCTCCCACAGCGCCATGCCGGCCGCACCGAGCGCCACACCCGCCACTCCTCCCGCAATGATCTTCCCCATCCCGCTGGACTTCTTCTTCTCTTCCGGAGGCGGATACGTGCCCCCGGGAGGGGGGTAGTAGCCTCCGTCCTGCGGCGGCGGGGGCCCGCCTAGTCCCCTGGCATGCTCGGAGTCTTGCATGGGGGCCTCCCACTGCGAGCGGCCTGTTGCTGTCTCGACGAAGTATGCGCGGCGGAGACTGGGTTCCCATTCTTGGACCCAGCCGAGGGGGAGCGGTGGTGGGGGCCCTGGAGGTGGGCGGGAGGAGGGCGCGGGCGAGGAGGTGCTGTAGGGCGATCCCTCGTAGCGGGGGCGGGATGGATCGAAGGAGGAGGGGGAGCGTTCGGGGGGAGGACGCTCGTAGGGGGGCCGGTCGTAGGGAGGGCGATCGTACGAGGGTGAACCCTGGGGTGGATGGTCGTAGGGAGGGCGTCCGTAGGATGGTTGTTGGTGTTGTTGCTGCTCGTAGGGGGGACGGTCGTAGGGAGGACGGCCGTAGGTGGGTTGAGGCGGCCCGCCGTAGTAGGTATCTCTTTCTCCGTAGTAGGACATGTCGCTCACAATTTATGTGTAGCAGTATGTGGTAGTTAAGGTAAGTTCACTATAGTTATATCTAGGAAGAAAGAAAGTAAAAAGGACAAGTTGAGCAGCCATCGAGCCTTTTATGTGGTCGGAGGAGGGGAGGGGAGACTCAGTCTATGCATGCATGCTCCATACACCTACAGCTCGAAATTACATTTACCACTATTTAACTAAATAATTATATGCTATCAGCGCGTACAGCCGTTCCGCATACATAAATTCGAAGCAGATTGTCGACACTAAGACGTGTATCCACCGGGCTATTAGTTTCAATGGGGAACAGCCGATAGTCCAACAATTAGGCAGATACATTCTGTCTGGCAATGGAACATCAACAATATACCTCTACCTAGTAGACTACGGAGTGTATCAATGACTACCCCTGACTCCTTAGCCGCCATAACAGCTAATATTATCCCCAATCCCCTTTCATCCTCTACGCAAAATCGCAGACAGCTCGCACAATGTATGTTTTCTTCTAACCGTCAACACTCAACCGCTCAGGCGGCATGGCATGCCTGCACCACACCCAACCATCCCATTCCCCTCCTATCACGAACCCTGAACCGACCATATGACTGTTCCACCGGCAATGCAAGAAACAAAACAGCCATCAGTCCCTCTCTTCGACGCCACATCAAGGCTGGTGTGGATCTCTCAAGTCACACTCACACCCACTATCCTCACCCAATCGGATACCCTTGCACTCTTACTAGCCACACTGGTGTATCAGCGGAGCGGTTCGGGTTCAGCCTTAACAAGCCACATAGCCCCTTGCTTGGACGGCCAGCGGACAAAGGAATCAGGCAGAAACACTGTCTTTTCTAGGTTGATAGCCTGATAGTAACGGATGACAGAGTACTACTCCGTAGTGGATAAGGATGTGGTATTTTCGAACAAGCTACATGTGTCATAATGAGTGGCTGTGACTGTGGTCCCTGTGCTGCACTGCTGTCGAACTCTGTGTCCAGCCACAGGCCCCTCTTATTATTTACCCATTTACAGAGTACTGATACCCACATGGGTCCTGGAGTTTTCGGAATGTTCCTGACCGGAGATACTCCTCTGCTCTTTGTTCAGGGATGGATGTGGGGCTAAGAAGTTGATCTTTGAGACGAACGACATAGGGTCATACAGAGTGACCTGGAATTGGACATTGATGGTGTCTACATTCTAGGCTTCGAACATGACGCAAACTGGCCTAAAGTAGTATTGTGTCAGAGTTTACGATGAGCAGTCTAGTAAAGCAGTGAGAGACATATGAATAAAAGAAGTTAAGACATTCTGATTAAGTAGATGCATTGGAAACTCCTAACCGTTTCCAGCCAAATATGCAGCGAGTTAACGCTTCAACTTGTACTGGCATTATCCACACTGGATCATATCAGGGGGGAATCACTCATGATACTAAGCTCATATATTGACAATCAATGATGGCCTGCAGAATTGTTTCTGCACCAAGTTTCACTGCAAATCCGGTTAACTCGATCCAGCGCTCGCAATATCGGCGGACTGGTCAGTTCCAGGATAGAAAAAGGCCGCAACACTAAAGTACAGTCAGTAAGAGGAGTTTTTTCTTTTCCTTTCATTTTTAAGAAAAAGGCAATGACTTACCTGATGATGACATAGGCGGCAATAAGCAGCGCGCCCTCAAGGTAATTGCTTCGACCATCCAGAACCAGAAAGTTGACCACAAAAGCAGTCACAAACAAACAGATGGTTTCGAACAGGGTAAAGTACAGAGACATGTCCTTGTCCATGCACCAGCCTAGAATGACCACCAGGGGTGTGACAAAAATTGCTAAGACCTGTCAGAAAGCTGAAACCATACAGGCATATTGCTAACTCACCAATTTGAATACTGCTTCCCACTGACACGCCAATGGACAAATCCATCTTGTTCTTGGTGGCCACACTGACGGCGGTAACGTGTTCTGCAGCATTACCGACAATGGGCAGAATGATCAGACCAATAAACGCCTCGCTGACCGATGAGCTTTCAATCATATCTGGGATGGCGTCCACTAGGAACTCGGCACATACTGCGACAAGCGCAGTCGACACCAGTAACATAACCACGGCAACCGTGCGTGATATCTCAGATTCTTTGTGCTCAGGAGGAGCATTGTTAGCTGTGACATCAACCGTAGTTGGTATACGAGCAGCGCCTCTAGCAAACTGGACCGCGTTTCCAACTGGGGGAGGACGATACATGTGCGAAGGAAGAGACCGCGTGCGCCGAAGACCAGGATTTCCAGGAGCTGACTGGGTAAGGTTGTTTGAAGCGGCAGTGTTTGAAAAGACAGTATTGGATAGTAAAGATGGTATCGTTGGACGAAATGGAGATTTTCTCTTCGGGAGGGCGGCAGCAACATCAGCCGGCTGAGGCGAGTTGATGCCATCAGTACCAGGTGCAGACAGATGAGACGGCAGGGACGGTCGCTGAATCGATGCATCCGTGTCCAAGGCGTCGACATTGTCTTCCTTGCGGGATTTGTGCTTTTTACTTGTCCGCTTCTTTGCTTTGCGATCCTTCTTGGCTGTTTCCTGCTCGCCAATTGATCGCGGACCAAAATCTATCGAGCGAGGCTCGTTGATTCGCTTATCATCATCTGCTTCGTAGTGACCATCGTCTGCAAAATCAATGGCGATTGAATGGTTGGAAGTAGGTCCCTCTGTAGAGGTGCTCTTCTCATTCATCACTGGACGGGATGCATCGCCGGAATGCTTCTTGCTAAGAGTGCCAGAGGCAGTATGATTGGAGCTCGTGCTGGACTTTCGACGTCTGCGGTGTCTCATGGCTCGCTTGATGCGCTTTGCGGTTGTCCATGATGTTGTGGTGTCATCGGAATCATCAGACGAGCTGCTTGATGAATCGGAAGAGCTGTTCATAAACTCCGCCAGGATACCAGGATGAGATTCTTCATCAATGATCTGTTGTGGGATACTCGCGTAAAGATAGGAGTGGGATTTGAGTTGAAAAATGATGTAGAGAATGTAGATGAGGAGCAGCACCTGCACAATATGAGAATCATAGACAAATGCTGATCAGAGCCTGCTTACCACACTGGTTCCACGGCTAACTTTCAAAGTGTTTCTGTCGGCCGATGCACTGTTCGACCAAGATGCATGGAATGCAGTCTACTCAGATGACAATCAGCATGTTTATGTGGCGTAAAATTCAGCGAAATACTAACAGGTAGGAGAAGACTGGTGACACTCAAACTCAGAAGGCATGCGCTCATCTGAGTGACTGTGCTGTTATAAATCTAGAGATAATCAGCACGGGCCTGATATTGCGTGCAAGAGTGTCCTACCTGTTCCTGGAAGCGAATACCTCCCAAAAGGAAAGACATTCCCAGGATCAAGAGTAGATTAGCTAGGATGGAGCCTAGCAGGGAGGCCTGGACGATCCTTATCTCGTTCTGCACTTGATTGTTAGCTAGATCATCAAGTAGGCTTGAGAGGGATGTACCTTGACGAGTGCAATGCTGGTCGGGTAAACCAAGTTATTTACGGTTGAGAGGCAGAAAGGAGTCAATGGAAACTTACATGCTAATAAATGTTAGTCGGAACCCGCGAAAAAGTAGTGTATCACAACTTACAAGATAATCAACTCCACGGCATTTCCAAATGTAACGTTGATGAGTGCTCCGACCGTATCTCCGAGACGGCTGGCAACACACTCAGTTGCGTGGCTCAGTATACCGGCCAAAGGGATGATGGCAACCGCGTTCATCGCAAAAATCACCGCCGGATTTAACCCTACCGCTTCGACGGCGATACCGACGGGCACGAAGACCAGCAGGACATTGACCCAGCTATGGCATAGCACTTCCTTGGTATGTCTTCCAAAACGGATGGTGCCATTTTTCATGCGGACAACGAGTCCTGGTTTGGTTGTGGTCTGTTCATCTTGGGGATTGAATTCTGGACCTTCCAGGTCCCCAGACTGCTCCTTCACTCGCCCATTATGTCGAGGTTCTGCGGTCTCCGAGTCCTGGGCCTCGTTGGTCGGCTGTTTAGAAGGATCTTGGGGAGCTGAGCTGCGGTGCGACGCGTGAGCTTTCGCCCACGATTGAATCCGGTCTATATGCAAGGCGAGAATGTGTCAGTCTGAACTTGATAGGAATTGTGTCTTTGCCCACTACGTTATATAGTTCTGAGACAGCGCAATCTTGAGCAAGAAAAAAGAGATATGCAAACGTCGAAAGATGACATTATTCTGGAGGAAACAACCGTAGAGAAAGGGGATGGCCAGGGGCAACTTACGCATGTATTTCAGAAGAAGAATTGTAGATAAATCAATATGGGAGGCAACAAGCCTATGATCAAAGCGCTTTAAGAGAAAAAGAAGCAAATCAAGCTCCGAGAAGAGAAGCTGGGCTTGCAGGGAGCGACTAAGTTTCTGTGAGAAAAAGAAGAAACGGGGCGTTATATGAGCGAGCGCCGATGATGCCCGCCAAGCTCGAGATGATCATTATTTGTCCTGGGATAAAGTGGGCTCGACAACAGCCTATGACAAGGCACAAAAGCCACAATAGAACCACAGCTAGCCTATCACTCCGCCTCATCTTTGTTATCAATCATGCTTCACTTTTCTACTTCTCTACAAGCAGTATGGTGGCTGTAGGTAACACGTTGAACGTCATCTGAAGTCATCCTTAGCTGCTGTCCTACCCATGTAGCCTGCTCTGTAATTCTTTTGTGTTCTAAAATCAACACTCGCAGCTTATGTAGATTTTCCTTTCGGGCCACTCTTTTACCTCTAAAGGAGGCCGTTCCCATTTTCGAGATTAATACATCTAATTTGGTTGACCACGGCTGGTGCCAAGCTCCCAGGAATGCGCTGAGGATGTTGAGTGGATTCCAAGATCCTTATAAGGCTGGCGTCCAATGATTTCCGTTGTTTCTCAGGCTAAGATACAGATTTCTGCTTGTGATTGGCTGTGGCAACATCCAGGGGTGAGTTTCTCCGTCTGGGTGGTCACCTTAGATTTTCCGTGTCTATCTGTGTCAGCATAGAAATGGGCAAGTCACGTCCTTGTTCAACAATATACGTCACCCAAAATTGAGCATATGTAATTCATACCAACGCGTAAAAAGTTGCTATTAATGAAGTGATACGATAGGTACACAAGAAGACATCATAAGATGCTAAAAATTTGTAGTTGAACGCTCAATATTCTGGCCATTGATCAGTCGGGCATTTCCCGTCATCGACACAATCTGGACCGTGGCTTGACCAGTAGCCAAGAAAGATAGTACCAGCGGTTACGGAGTAGGTCCTCGAAAACTGCGCCCCATGTGGCTGAAGCCTGAAATAGAACAACTTGACTTTGCCACATCATTTATGCCTGAGGCATAAATATGACTCATCCAGTATTCCAGTATGGTTCTATTGAATTATAATACCACTAGGCCAAAAGGGTGTCCGGACATGGTCCTCATCAGTCTAGGGTCTCATATCCATAGTCATAGTGGTATTATATTTTAACAGGTTCCAACTGGGGAGTGGGGACAGCCTTAGTCCTTTGTGCGAAGGTAGTCTAAATGACGCCTTTCCTCAGCTGAAGGGCAATTGCCGATACCAATATAGGCAATGTTGCATAAGTGGCAAATGTTTGTGGCAATGAATAGATAACTGTAGAGCATGAGTGCTCACAGGCATAAATAGACATATTATTTGCTTTGGAGACAGAGCACACAGATCAAAATCATGAATGATAATCCTATCTCAAGCAGCAACTGGTGTTGGCGGAGTATATATGTATAGGAGTGAGGTATGTTGATGTTACTTTGGCTTGGTTCCTAGAGAGGACATAGCAAGAGGGTTAATTGGAATACCTTCTACAAGCCGACCATTGCCAGTTTCTCGAGATTAAAGCTGACAAGTAGCTAAGATATTTAAATGAAAGTGGTTAAGAAATGGTAAAGCAACTAACTGCCCACTGACTGTTCTCAACCTCACAGTGCAAGTTCAATGTCGTAGTATGCTCAATTGTTGACATGGCGGCTATATCTTGAGCTGGATTTGGGGACTTCCCTAATGATGCTAAAGGTGCATTACCACCATCGCGATTGTCATGTATGTCCTGAGGCCAGTGAAATCCTCCTCTGTACTAACCATAGACGACGCGCCAGAGTAGGACTGTCGCAGATATTACAACAACCGTTGACTACCCCACAACCTTAATGTCCGTCATAGCTCAAACGTTGATACTTCGTGCCAGATTCATGAAGATAATACTTTTCAATCATATAGAGTATGTGTGGCTGCATCCCTCTGCTGTCTTGCAGATTTCTCCACAATAAAAGTGAGAGAACATAGTACACCCCCAGATGGTAGCGAAAGTAGCAGGACTGGTTATAATAACGACGCATGTGCTGTGTCGACTAATTGGTTATCGAAAAGACCAACTCCAAAACTCCAATAACCATCGTAACTCCAAATCAAATGCATCCTACATTGCGCATATACTTCTTGACCTGTCAGTACCCCACCAATATTCGTGATACTTGGTACGTCAAACGCTACTCACAACATCTAGCCGGTCGTACACCCCTCACTCATAGTCATCGTTGTGAACAGCTGTCAACTTCCTTAACCTCGGATAGTAGAACGCAAAGAACACGATGACGGCCAACAGCATCACCAGGGTCGGCAGGAACATGAACGTGAAGAGGAACAGGCTCAACCCAAAGGCCACGTTCTGACCGGGGAATACCCTGCGAGCCATGAGGTCAAGGGACGTCGAGAGGAGCTGGTGAACATTGACGGTGTTGGTGATGCAATTGAGCATGACGAGGTATTATTTGGCTTAGGTAGATAGATAGGAAGTTGGAAGGTGCTGTCGCTCTTGGATGCCCTAAAGCTCAATTGCTTGAGAACAGCCACATTGGGCGATGGGTGATTTTATGCTTTGGCTGTGGCTGTTGCCACTGATGGACCTTGTTTATTCATTTGACATGGGAAAAATAAGAAACCGTCTATCCATATCTCAACTGGAGAAAATGGATGCCTTGCCTCATACTGGCCCTTGCTGCTATAGATGATCACTGGACGTTGATGGTGACGATTGGCTGTTCGAGTTCACAGACCAAGGTAGGGAGGTGTTTTACATGTCCGATACGGAATAACTTACGCAATGATATAAAAAGCGAGGGATTCGGCCCGGGTTCGGGTATTTTCTGGTATGGAGATTACCCACCCTTTGATCCATTAGGCGCAGGCAGCAGCATTTCATGGGCCAGTTATGGTCTATACGAGTTTATCATGCTCCTGTGGATTTTTACATAGATAGGCACCATGCAACACCTTACATAAGAAACCGTGTAGAGTCGGAAGCTGAGTATTCTGGGCAGGGAGGAGCGAGAATGTATGCCAGAGCACAACTATATAACTGCTGCAGAGGACGGAGTAGCTGGCAAGTTAGTACCGAAGAACAATCAGCCTCTTGCTGTTGTCATGGCAATAACCTATAACATAGTGTAAGTGCCTGTGAATACTGAAACATTAAGCAAGGCCCTCGGTAAGGCTGATGTTGATCATCCAGTACCCAGACGCATCTAACAGTAGGGGCGGGAATCATAGTAACCGGAGGGATCATGTTCATGTTTCACACCAGCTGGCGACTGTGGAAGAAGCTTCCTTCAATAGTCTATGAGATGTAAGTTGAGGATTCCAACTGTCTGGTGTACCTACTGAACGAATAGGACCATGTGGTCATGTCCTAGCATTTTACATCCTGCAGAACTATGTACCGCTCATCTCGGAGAAGTTGGTCGTGCTAACGGCCAAGTCAGAAGTGGTTATGCTTGTTGTTAACGATGTGCATGAGTCTATCGGGTATGAGCAATGATATCTTGGATTTAATTGATCGAATACCTTACTTCGACTGTTGACTTATCCGCGTCAATTAACCTCGACAAGCAAAGCTTAGGTATGCGCCCTGTAGGGCTGGCGCTTGGCACAGATCCTCGGTTCGCTCGAGAATGGTGATGCCTAAACGAAGATCCACTAGGACAACAAGGAGAATATCCATTGACGAGTCACTATCAAAGCATGCATCAGGGTTCAGGGAGACTGTACTTGCTAGTTAGGCCTCTGTATTTATGAGTTATAGCTAATTGAGTCACTCGGATCATCATGGCAGAGTGCAGACTCATAGGATGATAGGACAATCTAACCAGAATCAATGCATGTGTTTCTGCTGGTTGTGTCTAAACAGCAATATCTTCGTACTAATTAACGCAGCATGGTGAAGGTCCCTGAAATCCTAATTGACTAATGCACCTCGAAGCACTTCCTTCTCCTCTCCACAGTCCACACACCGCTTCTTCGTCCCCAGTTCCTCAAAAACATGTCGCTTCTCTTCTTCCACAATCATCGATTTGACCACGCGGAGTTCGACAATCTTGGTGTCGATTGGGTGATCCACTATCAGTTCGAAGAAGCCGGTTCGTACTTGCAACGTCCTCGGACTTACCATTTTTATCCTTTGTAAATGCACTGACGCACTGGGACTACCCTGCAGACACATCTCGAGCAATCCAGGAGTTCCGAAATTTAATCCATGACCTCAAAGCAGCACGACTCAAAATCCAAGTCCGACATGGTCATGGAGCTTCGTTATTGGTCTGTGTCCGGGTCCCCCGCGACCACTTGGGACGGATGATTTACGAGTCGAGGTACCTCACCGTCTATACACGACTGTCTTCACCGACTAACTTGGCCAGAGTGAAAGACTGGCTGTATGGAGTCGTCCACGAACTCCCCGTTGGTAGCCACTACGCCGACGCCGAAACCCCCGCTGAAGAACTCCGATCGGTCTATCACGCTGTAACGTGGCAGAGACACCTGGGTGGTGCTGGCATCACCCCGAGGATAGGAAAACGGAAGAACATTGCGTCTGCGTTTCCGCTTCATGATCGGGCTGCTAATGCCGAGCTGCTGCGTAAGATGAGTCGATCGGTGACGATGACCGATGAGGATTTGGATGCCATTCGTGCCTTGTTTGGCGAGAAGGTCAGTGGTCACAAAAACGACGATAGACAAAGCTGACGTTGGCAGACGGCGTTTTATTTTGCGTTTATCCAGTCTTATTCATTGTTTCTGGTTGTCCCCGCCGTATGGGGAGTCATCTGCTGGTCATATTTCGGCCCGTACTCTATCAACTGCGCAGTGGTTAACTGTCTTTGGTGCATCGTCTTCGTTGAGTACTGGAAGATCCGCGAGACAGACTTGAGCCTGCAATGGAATGTCAAGGGCGTCGGAGCGCTTAAGGTCAACCGGCCGCAGTATGTCTGGGACAAGGAGGTGCAGGACCCTGTCACAGGAGAAACTGTCCGCGTATTCTCCATGCGAAAGCAGCTGCTGCGCCAGCTTCTGCTCCTCCCCTTTGCGACTGTTGCCACTGTAGCGCTCGGAACTTTGATCGTTGTCACCTTTGCCCTCGAGGTTTTCATCTCGGAAGTATACGTGGGCCCGCTCAAAGGGTATCTGGAGTTTCTCCCGACTGTGCTGTTTTCCCTCTCACTTCCGACAATCACCTCGAAGCTGACGGACGTTGCCACTCAACTTACCGAGTATGAGAATTACCGCACCCAAGATCAGTATGAACTCGCGCAGACGGCAAAGACCTTCGTGATGAACTTTATTACCGCGTTCCTACCAACTCTCTTGACCGCGTTCGTCTACGTCCCCTTTGGTGCGAAGATCATCCCTTACCTGGACATCTTTCATGTCAGGGGTCTTCACTCATCTATATCAACCGAGTTCCAGGTGGACATCTCCCGCTTCCAGCAGGAAGTGATCTACCTTTCCGTGACCGGCCAAGTCCTAAGCTTCGGTGAGGAGGTCGTCCTCCCGTACGTGAAGAAGGTCCTCTGGAGAAAGTGGCGCGACTACCGCCTCAAGAAAAGGCAAGCCGGCCGCCCACGCCGCTACTCCAAAATGACCGATCTTCTCCTGATCGATTCACCCTCGGAGGCAGCGTTCCTCACTCGGATCCGCAACGAAGCCGAAGCGGACAAGTACAACGTCCACGAAGACACGCTCGAGATGTGCGTGCAGTACGGGTACCTCGCCCTCTTCGGCGTCGCCTGGCCGCTCGTCCCTCTGCTCTTCCTGATCAACAACTGGCTCGAGCTGCGCGGCGATTTCTTCAAGCTCACCCTCGAATGCCAGCGCCCGCCGCCCATCCGCGCGGACTCGATTGGCCCGTCCCTCCAGGGCTTGGAGTTCCTGACATGGCTCGGCACCCTCTCGACAGCAAGTATCGTCTATCTCTACCGCGACGGGATGAAGGAGGTCCACATGTCCTCGTTGCTGCTGGTCCTGTTCATCGCTCAACAGGTCTACCTTGCGGTTCGCTTTGCCGTGCGCACAGGACTCCAGAAGCTGGGCTCAGGCACGCTCCGCCGCGAAGCTGCCAAGCGCTACGCTGTGCGCAAGACTTACCTGGAGACGTTTTGTGCCAGGAGGGTACAAGGGAACGGGAAGCCGCGGGTGCGGTTCAATGACCATGTGGACGTGTATAGCTCCTCGACAGACTCGTCCCCGACGGATCCAGTAGAAACCAAATCAGCGATGCTTCACAAGGCGACAGCGTATGCGAGTGAACGGGAGGCGGAATTCTGGGAGGGACAGCGCTGGACGGCGGAGGACGTGGGCGTGAAGTTGATCAAGGCGTTGAGTGGAGAGGAAAAGAAGAGAGAGTAGCCTACGGTAGTACATAGTATCTCTGATCATCTTTTCCAGAGAAGCCCCACGATTGAATAAATAGCAATATGTGGATCTAGGCGGAGATACTGCACGGTGTCAGGGGAAAGTAGTTCAGACTGCAGGACTTCAGCCCTACAGGGCGATCCCAAGAGAGCTTAATCCAGCAGACCCATAGAGCCTGTCTTATATGATTCCATCTCAGACTCATGACATTTTCGCTTGATTCCTCCATTCTCAGTCTAACAATGCCGTCAACAGCCATGGCATCAACGTCGACATCAACATCACGACCAAATTGGATATGATTCATTCTGAGGAACGAAACATTCGACTCCTTATGCGAGGGCAGGTGAGAAGAGGAGGATCATCGTTGTTCATGGTTTATGCGTCTACTAAAACGTGGTGCGCCGAGATCTCATGGCAGGGCCTCAGCTGGATGTTTGTCGGGCCTTTCTACAAGACGACGGGTGGGGATTCTCATGCATCGCGAGCGATATCTGCTGAGTTATTATCTAGACTCATCCTCCACCATAGAACTGGCGGCCAATCGATACAGATAGACGTGCTAGAAACTAAACAAGCCGCTCCGTCGCTTGCCATACGGATACACCACCAACGCAGCCATAAACAGTCCAACCGTGATGCCAATCGCCACCTGAACCATCCCGACCGCCAGCGTCCACACCGACGAATTGGTCGACAGCCCGGCCCCCGGCTGCGATGTCCCGCTGGGGCTGCTAATATTGTGCCGGATCTGATCGGCCGACGCCACGCCGGTAATCAGCGACCCGGACGCTGCCAGGCCCGAGGGCACCAGCACAAAGATAGCGGGGAGGATGGCGGTGGCGGCGTGTCCGTGCCACAGGCGACTGTACAGATTGCCCATGACGCCGATGGTGAAAGCGCCGACGGTATTGGCTACTTGCGAGTTGGAGCCCAGCTTCTTCGTGCTAAAGTAGTTGGTGATGTACCCGGACAAGGCGATGGTCGTCATCACGGGTAACTGTTTCCACTTGCCCTGGTTGATGATGAGCAGCCAGACGGTCATGAGGGCCACGAAGGGGAACCGCTGCACGTATGGGTTTTTGAAGGCCCCTGCTTTAGGACACTGGATGTCGGATACCGCTGACCCATCCATTAGTCCGTATATGGTCGTCCCTACCGTGATGCCGTATCCAAGGAACAGGGAGTAGATGATCGCGTAGACTATTCGGATCGACCCCGCGATGATCTGATGGGACTGTAGCTCGAGACTGCTGCATAGCACCAGGAAGCCGGGCAGGATAAGCGCAATGGAGGATTGGGCAATGGCGGAGAAACAGAAGAGAAACTGGCGCTTGCCGTCGATGACGGCCTTTGGAATGCTACCAAAGGCGCGGGCGAGAAACGAGGTGAGCACCGCGGCCGTCACCTCAAAGACGTTGGAATAGAGCGCCGAGCGAGGTGCGAGTACGTGTTGCATGAGCCCGAGCAGGCAGCCGTTGACGAAGATGATGGGCATGTCGATCGGCCGAGCATTGAATGCAAACGGTCCCACAGTCGCAGACGCCAACCCATACACCAACACGACGATCCACTTGTTGAACCGTGGCGGCTTCTTTTCTATCTCCTCTAGTTCCTGGATGGCCTCTTCCACCCCGATCACGTCATGCACTACATTCTTGTAGATTCGATGAGTGTTGGCCAACTTTTGTAGGTTGATTGACTGAGCCACCCGAACCAGCTTCACCTCGGTGGTCCTCGTCGACGGATCGTCAAATGACATGATCATGCACCCGGGAAAATACAGGAATTGGCTGTCCACCTCGAGAACCTTCGCCGTCATCTGCATGTACTCTTCGAGCCGATGCGTGGGGGCGCCGAACGACATCAGCGCTTTGCACAGCTGCATAATGTACCGCTGGCGTGCAATGATCTCTGCGATTTGCACCGTCACCTGGATTTCGTCCTCCAGCCGCATGCCTCCTCCCCGTTGGGGCTGTTGTCCACCAAGGCGCTTTGACGCGGCGGAAAGCACCTCGCTAGACACGGGAGTGCTCGCGCCACTCATGCTGCCCGAAGCGCCAACCAGGGTCGACGTGGACCGAGTATGCTGTTTATTCTTGTACCACTTTAACTTTTCCTTCTTCGGAGTTGTGGTCCCCGAGGTCCCGGCGTCAGAGGGCGATCGTTGTCCACCCTGCCCACCCTGCCCTCCTTGTTGCATGCCGCCATTCAGCTTCATCAGCTGCGCCAGAACACCCCCACCCCCGGCTCGATACCGCAGGCCCGAATCCAGTCCATAGTCCCCCTGGCCGCCCCGGCCGCCCTGCGTATCGGTGTGTGGGTATGGCTTCCCCCGCGTACTGCGCCGATTGCCGGACTGGTCCTGCGTCAGCTCACGCACCAGGCGGTGCGCTTCAGACGTGGACGTGGCTTGATTTGCCTTCTTTTCCTCATGAGTCTTGTGCTTGTTGTCAGTCAAATCTCCCAGAGGCGCGTTGCCGCCTGATGCCCATTCGTTGTGGTAGACACCGGGTCCTAGGTCATCCCCACCTCGTTCAGGGCGTCCCAGCCGATCACTCCACCGGGACAACTTGCCGTGCACCGTGTCTCGCAGCCATCGCAGTTTGTCCTTGGCTGTGCGACTGACATCGCCGACGGCTGCTGCTGCGCCAATCCCTGCCGGCTTCTTCTCCACAGGGGTCTTTTCCGCTTCCTGGAGGTCTTCTCCCGTTGTCCGCTCCTGAAGAGGGGTTTCTGTGATGTCTAGCGATCCATGGATATAGGGCGTGGATATGAGATGTGGTTGGCCCTGGCGTTGCGCTTGGTCACGCTGACCTTTTTGCTTTTCCTGAATAGAGCTTTCATCTTCACTACTTTCGGGGCCGGCGGGCTCTGGGTAGTCGACACTGAGAGCGGACCGGAAGCGAACCCGCTGTCTCCTCTGTGATTCTTCTCCATTTTCTCCATTTGCCAGGGTGGCTTCTATAGTGGGAATTTCTTGACCGTCTTCATCCTTCCTCGGCTGTTCAGGCGATCGTGGACTCCCCGGCGGAGCCGGGGGTGATCCTGGGCTTTCAGGACTGCCGGAATCTTCGGTATTTCCTGATTCGGGTTGACTCTGATAGGTTTCGGCGGAACTCTCACTCTCTTGTCTGGAGTCAGACATATGGCAATCTCAGGATGACAAGCCTTGATCGGTTACGTCTAGCTCTTGTTAGCAGAGTCTCAAAGACTTGGCTATGTATGTACCCTGGCAGGAAGTAAGGAACACCTAGAAGGATATACATACAATGCAGCTTGATCTCGTATCGTACTCAGAGTAGCAGAGGCAGGCAGAGGAGATTCCACAAAAGCCAGCGCAAGGGAGAAAGATGACGTGGTTCGCCATGGATGTGGCTAGTCACCTGTGACTTCACCTATGCATGGTGTTGGCCACATGAGCTTCGTCTGCTCGACGTCATGAACCAATGGGCCATATCATATGTCATGGAATAAAGGGACAGTCGTTATTGATGTTCCGCAGTAGACCTTCCCGGAGCGAAGGATAAGGACCATCATGGCTTTTGTTAGAGTGATTGTCTTTCGACCCGTTGTCGGCCTAGGCGGTTGCTTTGAATGATAGCCTGAAGCGCAATAGATTCTTGACTTTGGTAGTCTGTTGACGTTGTTACGACGATGTCAGCGCCAGCAACGGAGGAAATTCCCGAGCGCGCGAACGAACCACGGTTGACCATAGACTGGCAGGTTGCTTCGTCGAAGACACGGATCATGCTCCTAACAGCAATGAACAACTGTGCCATTCAGACTAGCCATGGAAAGCATACTGCAGAGGAATCATGACATTATGTGCAGGATCATCCAGAAGAAGTGATGACCTCTAATGGCAGAACTAGGTAAAGGTCGTTCAGAGTTAGGATCAGAGGATGAGTCCGAGAGGGATAGAAAATGTAATTTAACCAGAACCATGTCATAGAACCGCAGGATACTTTAGCAGCTTGACTTTTGCCTCATTTCCCTTTGCTGCTGCCCAGTGGTGTCCGCCCATATTGATCCTTGGACCTTGGTGTTTAGATTAACTCAGTTTGTTGCTAGTAGCAAGCAGCTTGGCTATTGCCTTATTTCTAGCTATTACTGCCCTTAAAAGCGGTGTCCACCCATATTTGTCCTTAGAGTTTGGATCAACTTGGCCTGTTGCGAGTAATAGCTTAACTATTACCTCGTTTCCATGCACTGCTGCCCATGACAGTGGTGTCCGCCCATCTTCGTCCTTGGTGTCTGGATCAACATGGTTTGTTGCTAGTAGCAGGTTGACTATTGCCTCATATCCGTATTTTGCTGCGTGTGACAGCGGTGTCCACCCATCTTTGTCCTTGGTGTTCAGATCAACTCGGTTTGTTGCTAGTAGCAGGTTAACTATTGCCTCATTTCCAGCTATTATTGCCCTTGAAAGCGGTGTCCACCCCTCTTCATCCTTGGAGTTTAGATCAACTCGGTTTGTTGCTAGTAGAAGGTTGACTATTGCCTCATTTCCCTTTGCTGCTGCCAATGACAGTGGTGTCCGCCCATCTTTGTCCTTGGAGTCCGGCATAAATTTCCCTGTTTCGAGGAAAAAATCAAATATTACCTCGTCGCCAAGCTCTGTTATATATGAAAGGATGGTCCTCCTGTTTGAGAATCTGAAATCACGTCCCAGGCTAGGGTTTCTGCTTCCGTCCTGGCAATACTTGTTGCACAGCTCACGCAGTCGACTTTCCGGGGGCGTGTTCGCCGCATAGGCTTGCAGAAATGTTCGGACCGCTTTCCCGCTCCCAGTAGCAAGGGACGCGAAAAACGGAAACTTGTAGCGCTCTCCTTCCGCATCAAGACAGGATAGGATAGAGGGGTGAACTCTGATGAGGTTCGACAGATTGCTCTCCGCTAAGATATACAGTAGACTCACATTTTGTGTATGCCGGCGTACTTCGTGTTTTTCGAATAGATTGTCGAGTTGAACCCAATAGGGGAGCTTGAAGCCCTGGATAAAATCTCCTTGAGCAATACCACTACCTTCAGCAGCATCAGCGTGGTACAGCACGTTGCGTACGGCATACTCCAGAAATGGAAACGCTTTAGCAACGGACTCGCGGAGGGTTGCAGCTTCCGTGGAAGATGCTTTCGCTAGTGGCTCACTGAGATCAACATGTTTAGAGACGTCGACGTTCATATAAGTAAGGCAGCACTGCTTAAGTTGGTCATGGCTTTGTCCTTGCAAGTTGCTTCCAAGGTCAGGCCAGATTTTGCAGAGCCCGTTCTCCTTGAGAAGAAAGTCTCTAACTGACTCGTGAATGAACTGGACCGTCGGAGCCTTGGAGTGTGTGATTTCAGCAAGTCCTTTGGATGAATTGAGGATGAATCTCTTGATGACATCAATTGTGATCACATCGGTATCCCACTCTGTTAAAGCTCCTGGCTCAATGCCGGAAAGAATAGCAAAGTACAATTCCTCCGGTTTCAAAGGCAGCCTCGCAAAGAGTACCCATTGAATGCACAACAGTAACTCATTTCTATTGTGACTGTCTCGTGTTAAAATATCGCGAAACAGCTCATGCAGGTTGCCAGGAATACTGCGAAGTATTTGCCGAAGAGCATAGACACGACCTCCGTCATACTCCTTGTTGAGTATCTCCACCACGAGAATAACTCACATAAAAACTCCGGAGGCTTTCTCTTGAAGCTCACCCCTGATCTGCATGGCGAGGTTGCTCTTCCCAATTTTCAGCTCACTATTCACGTAATTGGTAATGTCTTGGATGTGGCCTTCTTGGCCCTCTAGGACCAACTCCAGTCCTCTCTTTATAGAGATATGTGGGTAGTGTCTGCTGGAAAATAAGACTCGGAAGTGAATTCCAGCACCGACAGTGAGTTCGCCGACATGTTCGAAAAACGATATCATGTCACGCACTTGATGTTCCGCACATTCATCCAAGGCGTCAATGAAACACACTATGGAAGACTGTTCAAGGCGTAGTATTGCTTGTTCGAATAAATCTTTCAGCAACTCAATACCCCACTGGTGATATCCACCGCTGTTCCACGTCCTGAACTCAAGGGTGTCGAAGACACAGTGAAGTTCTGGGACTCGTTCAAGAACTTCTGACAACAAGGCTCGATACATTCCAACCGTAGACTTTTCCAAGTCCTCTCCTCGTGCGTTGAAGAAGAAAGACATGATTATCCTGTCCTTCATCGTTTTCCGGGCATTCGCAAGGGCAAATTTCATTATTGTCGACTTGCCAGTCCCGGGCTTTCCCTTCATCCACAAGAAGCCGTGATGTTCGCCGAGCTTGGTGTTATCAAGCCAGTCAAGGTACTCCGGCTTACTCAGGAGCCATCTGCACGTCTTTGCGTGTGCTTTTTTGATGGTCATCTGGCGAGCATCAATCTGGTCAAATTTCAATGAGTCTAGAAGCATCCGTTTATGCTCTTCACTGAGGGACGGGATTCCACCCCTCCGATGCTGGCCTGAGACTGTGCTTCGTTGGGCAGGGGAACCCTCGCGAGGTGTAGATACGTTAGTACTTCCAGGCAGTCCACAGCTAGTGTTGAATCCGCCGTCCAACGGCTGCCGAAGGGTTAATCTTGGCGGGACTTGACGATCCTCTGGGTCCAGGTACGAAAGGAGCTCCTTCGCGCACCCTGCTGCCGCCGCCGCAGCATAGTGCTGCCATATATCACTCTTCTGAGAGTCTGCATAATCGGAGATGCCGCGAATGACAATGCATGGAAACTCCGTCATGATGCCAGCTGCTTGGCCCATTTCGAAGCAGAGGATGTCGCCTATGTCTCGACCAGTCTTGTTCCGCTTCATAGCGCTCCTCATTACTCTATCCCCGGACGCAATTAATCCATAATGAATCTTAGGATTATCAGATCCACGTGCAGGTCGATCCACAATTTGAGCCCTTTCACATCTCCTACATGTGGCCTGATCAGGTACATGAGGATAATCCGGTTGGAAGAGCACATCCGAATCTGCTGACGGCCGTCGGTAATCTGCGAGGCCAGGCCATTTTTGCAGAATTTCTGACAGGAAGGTGTTAACTTTGTTCGATTGGGTCAGGTGATCGGATCGCATCACCTCCACTGCACTCCTCAAGATGGGAGGGGGTGGCCAGAGAAATCCTTTAAGGGTGAAGCCATCCTCTACATCCTTCCCTAGGTCATATTGAACTACTCCACCGAATGGGCCCTCGGGCATACTCACAACAATATCACCGAGGCGGATGTCGTGTGTTAGGCTCGGCACTCCACCTCCGATACCCACCAGAAGTCGCCATTTGATTGATGGGAACGTACGTTGCATATTGTTAGCGACGATTGCCGCGGCCCCTTTCCCTTGGGTACCTGGAAGACAGGCAATCGCGACATTGTGACCACTGAGTTCGCCGAGGACATATAGGTTTGAATCGCCTTGCTTGGTGGGCAAACGAGGATGTTCGTCGTCGAGCATGTAGCGGACAGCGCTCATCTCAAAACCCATTGCGCACACCACACCGACGGTGTAATCATTGTAGGTCCATGGATTCGCACAGTACTCGTTCGTAGACGGGATAGGAGATCCATCGTATCCACGGCGCTTCTTTCGAGTTCCATCTGTCACTGAAAGAAAGCCTTCTCCGTCGTATCGGCGTCCCTCAGGTGTCCTTTCCATAGCAATTCTCTCGTGGCGCCTTTTCAGCAAGGATCTTCTTCGCTATGTCAAGGCGGTAAACACAGGCAGCAGGGCGACCGCCTCTGAGAATAGGACTAAAAATGGGGTCCTTAGAGTAGCACGACTTCGCAGGAGGTTGTTAAGCAGCATGGCCTCGTCATGAGGCATAGCAGTAGAGAGGAGGGGTTCCTTCCATCGTTCCGCTGCATGTTTCAGCCTTATGCGATTTGCCAGCTACGGCGGACTGAATGTACAAACCGGCCAAAATAAATTTTTTACTGTCACCTGCTTGTATTACTTATAGCCACTACTTCCACAAAGATATGATTATAAAATAAATACTTAGTGACTATTGCTATATAGTAGGGATTTAAATCATCATATAGTATGGGTATTAAATGATTTGAATTGCTATATAGTATGTATTTAAATTATCATATAGTAGGGATTTGAATGGTCATATAGTAGGGATTCAAATCACCATATAGTAAGGCTATCGAATGATTCAAATCGCCATATAGTAGGGATTCAAATCACCATATGGTAAGGATATTGAATGATTCGAATCGTCATATAGTAAGGCTATCAAATGATTTGAATCACCATATAGTAAGGATATTGAATGATTTGAATTATCATATGGTAGGGATATTGAATCATATGCTGAGGCAGTGCCCTGTATGGGTAGAATATATATATATAGAAGGTTATATAGGAACCCACTTACTAACACTGCATATTTAAAATATATATACCCAAGTATAGTAATATATGAATAATATAATTATTCAAATGATTTAAATTCCTACTATATGGTGATTCGAATCCCTACTATATGGTAATTTGAATCCCTACTATATAACAATTTAAATCATTCGATATCCCTACTATATAGCGATTCGAATCATTCAATATTCCCTACTATATAACAATTCGATGTCCCTACCATATGGCGATTCGAATCATTCGATATCCCTACTATATGATGATTCGAATCATTTGATATCCCTACCATATGATAATTTGAATCATTCAATATCCTTACTATATGGTGATTCAAATCATTTGATAGCCTTACTATATGACGATTTGAATCCCTACTATACGACGATTCGAATCCCTACTATATAGTGATTCAAATCATTCAATATCTATATGATATAGGTACTATATATTTTATATAAAAACATTAGTTTCTATAAGCATGCTAGATAGGCTATAGGCATAGTGGTGCGTGTGGTAGTTTTGGTAGTAGTGTGGCGGAAGGTAATCATTGTAAAAATTTATTTTGGCCGGTTTGTACATTCAGTCCGCCGTACCAGCGCGTAAATCACGTGCTTAGCTCATAGATATAAAAAGAAAAGACGAGGCTGTTACGGACGCGCACATAACATTGAGCAACAAATTACATCATGGGTGTGTGTATCCATAACAACCTTCTAGTTAAATATCAGGCATGAACAACTATGCAATCCATTAGACAAGCCATGGAAAGCATCCTGAGAGGAATCATGCCATTTTGTGCAGTATAACGAAGAACAAGTAGAGAGTTCTAACTTCAGAACAAGGCTAAGCAGCACGATTGGGCTGAGACCTAGACCAGCTGAAGAATGAAGCACGATCCCTGAACCGGTAGTCAGTAGATAGTCTACTCCATAGGCTCGTGCGAAGCGAGTTGAGTTGATCGATCTGCAGATCAGCGGTGGGATCCTTCAATTCTTCTGTGATCACCTTCCTGTTGAGAAGGCACACTAATGGTATGATGACACCAAATGTTCGCTCCACTAGGTGAGTTGATTCAGGAAGTCGACATTACTAGATCTTACCCCCTCTCGAGGGTCAGGTCTGCAACCTGGAGAATCAGACACAGAAACAGACCATGTCCGTGAGCTTTCCCAATTGGGACAAGGAGAAATCAGCCCCTGACGGATATACGTTGGTCCGGGAGGGAAATGTATTTACAGTATTTATCAGTCAGGTTCTCAGGAACTAGAGCTCTACTTGGTATTACGCTGTAAGCCCATGATTGCATTTAGGATTCAGATCCAATTCCCTCATCTTTCAAAGGATCCGTCTGATCCCAATAATGGATAATCGACCTAATGCAGGGTGTCTCCTCTGCCTCTGCTGGCCGGAATGACTGCTATCGACGGACACCACTTCCCTGATCGGGAAGCGCCTCATTTGTAAGTTTTACGGCAGCGTTTCAAATCGGGGCCAATTCGGCGCCGTCTCACTATATTGTCCTAGTACTGACGCTCACCTTTCTGTCTTAGGAAATTCCTATCTGTTCTTGTCGCAGATGTGGTGTAACCTTGTCATTTAAGCCCCGGTCTTTCTGCACGATGACTGTTCAGCTTCGGGGTAGCCGAATCTTCTTGCTTATACAAATCAGCACTCCTTTGATCGTGGTCCTGGCAGACAATGGAGCTAGAGATGGGGAGCTATATATTCGCGATGTGTCGTCTTCTTGAATCGACGGTAAGACCGTCATTCCCTCCATTCGCTTGTTTCTGCTTACAGTGACTCATTATCTTGCTAGAATGCGTTGTCTCCTCTCATGGACCGCGCTGGCCAGCACGCTGGCTATGGCCTCATCTGCAGCCATCGGGGCTCGTGCTCCTTCCTGTACCGGTCCTGTCAAGAGCTCTCCAACTACATACTGGCTCGCTGAACAGGACCACACCGGAAATCCGCGCGGATATGCCCCTAATGCGGGCGGGAACTACAACTACCCCGTCTGGCGCAATGTTCTGGATTACTCTGCGAAAAATGACGGGTCCGGCGACCAGACTGCCAGCTTGCAAAAAGCCATCAACGACAATGGCAGCGGTGGAAGCCGCGAAAGCTCCGGTGTCACTAGGTACCCGGCTCAGGTCTATCTTCCGAGTGGTACATACCAGCTGGGGAGCACACTCAACCTCCGAGTTGGCACGCTCATTGTCGGAGACCCAATTAACCCGCCTGTGATCAAGGCGGCGGCCGGGTTCAACGGCAATACGCTCGTGAATGGATACGACTCCAAGAACGGTCCCCCGGAGACCAGCTTCATGACGCTCATGAAGAACGTCGTGTTGGACACCACTGCTCTGCGACCTGATACTCAGATTACGGCTCTGCAGTGGGGTGTGGCGCAGGGTTCGGGTCTGACCAACGTCAAGATCAACATGCCGAATTATTCCACCGGTCATACTGGTATTCACGTCCAGGCGGGGTCTACTATCGCCATAACCGATGTGGTTAGTCTCTGTCTTCTGCGCTGTGAGTGGCCGTCAGCTGACAATTATAGCAAATCAATGGAGGTGTCGTTGGTATCGACAATTCCAACCAGCAGGTCAACTTCAAGAACATCCATTTCAACGGCTGCACTACCGCCTTCAAAGCGTCCGGTGGACACACTGCTCTGCTTCAAGGCGCTACTTTCGAGAATTGCGGAGTAGGCGTTGACATGACCAGCAACGGACTGGGGAGCTTGGTGCTGCTAGACTCAACCTCTGTCAACTCCGGGACTACGATCAAGTTCCACGACTCGTCCAAGGACGGTGGCAACCGCAACAGCCAGATCTTGATCGAGAACTTGTCCCATGACAATGGAAACCCCATTGCCCAAGACAGCAGCGGCAACGTCAAACTGGCCAGCACATCTCATGTCGATACCTGGGTGTGGGGTAACGTCACTCCAGGCCAATACGAAACGGGAACCAGCTTCAGCACCAGCCGTCCCGACGTACTGCTGTCCGGGGGGAAGTTCTTTACGAAAGCCCAGCCGACCTATGCCGAGTACGCCAGCGACCAGATCGTCAACGTCAAGGCCGTCGCGGGCCACGCCGTCAAAGGCGACGGATACACCGACGACTCTGCTTCCCTCAATGCCATCCTGGCCGATAACGCGGCCAACTGTAAGATCAGCTACTTCCCATACGGTGTGTACATAGTCAAGGACACGCTGGTCATTCCGCCGGGCTCTCGGATCGTCGGAGAGGCTTGGTCGGTGATCTCCGGCGCGGGCGACGGCTTCAAGGATGCCCGCAACCCCAAGGCTGTGGTCCAGATCGGCAAGCCGGGTGACGTTGGCGTTGCAGAGATCCAAGACATGCGGTTCAGTGTGTCGGAGGTCCTCTCGGGAGCTAAGATCGTCGAAGTCAATATGGCCGGAAGCGCTCCGGGCGACGTGGGCTTGTGGAACACGATTGTCACTGTCGGCGGAACAGCCGAGACCAGCATCTCGACCAGGTGCACGAACCAGGACACCTCCCAGTGCATGGCCGCCTACATGGTGATGCATCTGACCAAGAGCTCGTCGGCCTATATCGAGAACTTCTGGGGCTGGACAGCGGACCACAACCTGGATGGCGGATCGGGATACACAGTCATCTCGACAGGCCGCGGAGTGCTGGTCGAGTCGACCAAGGGGACATGGCTGACGGGAACTGGCTCGGAGCACCACTGGTTATATAACTATAATTTCCACAACGCGCAGAATGTCTATGCGGGTCTACTCCAGTCTGAGAGTCCGTACATGCAGGGCAGCGGCGCGACCCAGACAGCGCCCGCGCCGTGGACAGCGGACTCTGCGGTTGGTGATCCGGACTTCTCCTGGTGCGCCGGCGGCGACCAGAAGTGCCGAACGGCGCTGGCGACCAACGTCGACGGCGGCAAGGACGTACTGCTGTACAATTCCGCGGCGTGGGCGTTCTTCGACGGCGAGTGGTACGGAGATTACGGGACTCAGTGCAGTGGAAACTGCCAGAGCAACATGATGCGGGTGAGCAATAGCCCAGAGAATCTGGTGTGGTACTCGATCAACACGCGCAAGACGAACGTGATGGTGTTGGACGGGCAGTCGAATCCGACCGAGTATAATCACCCGGGAGGATGGGAGGCCATCATTCAAGCATACCGGCAGTTTGCCTAGTTGTCGACTAGTGTTGCCCTAGAGTACATAATCATCTTCTAAATGTAGTAATATTTACTTCACCTGAGCCATGGGATGCATCAATCATCACCGCCACATGCGGCATTGCCACACCTCGGCAGTCCTACTATATCCTACAGAAAGGCCGAGTAACTACAGTTACCCCAGTACCTTACCCCAACATCATTGCCTGTAAGTAGTCTACTTATCACTTGTATAATTCGTAATATGCAATGCACCACAACTCAGCGTACGTCATCATCTTGGCATCTAGGCAGCACAATATCATCAAGTAACACAAACAGGTCTTACAGGCTTACAGCTTTGCTTACATGGCACAAACCTGGGCAGTCTCACTAAGCCGCCGATCTATGGATCAGCTCACGCCAGAACCATTCACATTACACCGCTATTCCTGGCATGGTTAAACGATGGAAGCGTACGCAGTGGATCCGTGGCTTAGGTTGGTTCTGGAAAATACTGCACGAGTCAGTAGAGACAGCCCTGTGGTCTGTCTGCCGCGCCATTAATCAGTACCTAAACTTGGAGACGAGACACTAGTCAGTAGCAGCCGACGATAGATTAATTATGATGTATTCAGCTTGGCTACTATGCATTGCAAGCATTTCCTGTAGGTAGATACATCATCAACGTCAACGTCAATAGAAAAGGAAGTCGGTAGCCTGACCCTGCCCTGACCCTGACACAGTGGACCAGATGATGATGCGGATATTGTGATTGGCACGACCTCATCCGATCGACCCGTGGACGTCGTCATTCATGTTTTGACTGGTTAGTGTACCTCTCTAGACTGGGGATGAAACAGATTGAATATTGAGATTGCACATCCACACTGCAGTACCTGTATGTGCATGTATGTACGGAGTATCGCCACGCAGTCACTGCGCCTTGTGGTGGAGCTGACCCAGGGCCAGGACGGAGGACCTGGAGCCTGACTCGGATCTATTTATGGTGTGTTGCGTTGACAGTGTAACGACGCATATAAAGTCGAAGTCGAAGTCGATCCCTAGCCCTCGTTCATTATCCATCCCAATCATACACTCATACAATCCATCAACCCAAAGTCAAGCAAATCAAATCAAGAGACACAAAACCAGACAAAATGCAACTCATCCACCTGACGGCCCTCCTCCTGGCGACCTCGGCATACGCCCAGGATAACAACAACAACGGCAACGCAATCGACTCCCTCGTCACAGCAGCAAACAACATCGCCTCCAACGTCGTCGCCGACGCAACCTCCATCGCCTCCGCCTTCGAAACCGGCGGCGCCTCCGCAGCCTCAAACGTCCAGTCCTGGGCGACCTCCGTCGCGTCCGACGCGCAGTCCCGCGCCTCTGACGCCGCGAGCAAGGCTTCCTCTGCCTGGAGTGATCACCTGACGACCCTGACCGGGACGAATGGGACGCCTACTGCGACCGAGACGCGGTCGGCGAGCGAGACGGGTAGTGGCAGCGGGTCAACCACTGCGACGCTGACGGATACTACGACTTCGACGAGTGGGTCGATGACTACTACCATGACTCGCACGAGCACCAGTACCGGTGCGGCCGGGTCGTCGTCCTCGACGTCTCAGGGGGCGGGTGCGCAGGCGACGCCCTTCCTGGGGGCGGGGATTGTGGGTGTTGCTGGTGTGCTTGGTGTTATGGCTGCCCTGTAGATGGGTTTAATGATGAGCTGGGATAATGTTGATCACGTTATGTCTATATACCTGGTTGAACGTGCTGTACATGTACTCTGAATGATCAAGACCAATATGACAACATGGGATATTCCATCAATTAGTTGCATCCTTTTCTGGCGGCGAGGATACAACCTCCGCCGAATCAATGGTCATCTTCGGGCCTGTGTACCATTTCCGCGCAAACAGGAAATAATACGTCATGCACGCAATCCACACAAACCCGTTGATCACAATGGTATAATTCATCGTCGACGCTGTAGCTGTTAGCATGATTCGTAGTCCGCAAAGACAGAACTTACGAGTAGGATTCGGTCCTCCGCTAGGAAACATCGACAACATCAGCCCAAACGCCAACCACAGGATCGCCACAATGGCAATCGGCCGGCTCAGTTTTCCCGTGTAGAACTCGCCCGGCCGGAAGTGCTTCTTGCTCCAGATCACGCGGCACAGAATCGGGGTTCCCCAGGCGACGTAGTTGCTCGCCACGAACAGGGAGAACAGCGCGTTGGCCGCGATCGAGTTGATCAGGCAAAGCAGGCCGGCAACGATGCACACGGCGACGAACCCGACGATTGCCCGGACTGGCTGGTACCGGATGCGTTTGCTGATGTGGCGGAAGTAGCCGGAGAAGGGGAGGGCGCCGTCGCGGGAGAACGCCCATGCTTGGCGGGATGCAGCGACAATCTGTTCATCAGCACCTCTGCATACTTTGCAAAGATTGAGAGCTTACCAAGCTTAGTCCGACCAGGAATTGAATGACAATCAGCACACCCGTGAACCCGAGAGCTCCTTTCTTGCCGAGAGCGTCATAGTAGATCTAGGCTGTCAGTTTGCTGCTGCACGTCGAAGGGCTTGACGTACCTGCGCCATGGGCTGCCCGAACTTCGTGCCCATCGTCTTACTAACATCCGGGTCCATCGTCGCGGCAATCACGGACAGGACCAAAAATCCCAGGAACGTGGCGCAACCCGAGGACCAGATGATCCCCAGCGGCACCGCCTTGGCCGCATGCAGCGCTTCCTCGCTCATATGCACGCACGAGTCGAAGAACCCAATCGACCAGATCGGGGCCAGGAACGACAGCACAAACGCCCAGCCCGTCGGCCACGTCGTCAGGTTCTCCACGTCCCCGAAGACATACGAGCCCGGGTTGAGGGACTGGCCGCGGCTGATCTTGCCGACGGGAAGAGCCACCACCGTTGCGATTATCATTGCCACGTTGACGAATATCGAGAACGTTTGGATCTTGTTCATGATCGGCCCGGCGAACACCGCGCACACGGCGTGCAGGAGAATCACCCCGACATAAACCCCGTAGATGGTCCCGTTGGACGCGGACCACTCTCCGTCACGCGAGATCGAGATGCACGCGAGCAGCAGCAGCGAGAGTGTGTCTGTACCTGTCAGCGACGCCCGTCATCGAGCGGTGGACATGGACATACAATCAACCGAGCACATCCCCCCAATCAACCCAAGGGTGTTGCTGTATCCGACCAAGAAACTCAGCGGGTTCTTGTACTTCTCGCCCGCGAAATAATGTGTCCACCAGTATAGACCGCCGGCCGTAGGCATCGCGGACGCCATATCCGCCTGTTGTCATTAATACGGTGCGCAATCGACGACATCGGGAACATACCATCGCAAGACCGACAAAGAAGATGAGGATACTCGCGGTAAACCATCCCTATCACTATTAGTCGCGTCCAAAAAAGAAAGAAAGAAAGAACGAACCCAAACCATGCCGACTGGCCCAGCTGGAAGTGAAAACGCAATCGTGGACGCGATCGAAGGAACCAGGCCCATAATACTGAACGCGACCGCAAAGATCTCTAGCGTCGAATACTGTCGTCGCAGCTCCTGCTTGTAGCCCAATTCCGCTGTTGTAATCAGTATTCTGCGCGTCAGACGCCAAACGTCGAAGCCTGCGACTTACCCAGGAGCTGTGTATCGTCGACCACCTCTCGATGGGCGCCGGCGCCATGGTCAGCGCCTGTGGCATCGACGGTGGTCTGCGAGCGCATCTTCACGAGCATCTTGGCGTCCAAGAGTCTCAAATGACTGCAGAATCGATGATCATCAAGGACGGTGAGGACGAAGACTGAAGAAGTCGGGAAGAGGTCAACCCAGCGGAGACGATGGAGTTATCTGCATCGGGTCGGACCAGGGAACAGGTACCGCGCACTGTCTGGACTCGAGAGACATGGTATGGTGTGAGCACTTGCAAAGTCTAAAAACGCCGTCTGCAAGAACATTGGATGGGGCATCGGATGTGGAACTCTGGAAGACCAGGACCGATAGGGGGTTATGGATGAAACTCCGATGGGGAATGGATCGGCGGACAGAAAAGCGGGAGATGATCGTCGTGGACCATTCAGACACAGTATGGGGTTTGGCCGTCTGGGTAGGGCCTCCACAGCTGCTGGCCGGCCATGGATGATGGAGCCATGCAGGCCCCCTAATCGGTAGACTAGTCCACGAAACTTCTTCTACCTACTGATACTAATACTGAAAGTGAATGATTCTGTATCGTCCGCCACCCTCTCAAGTACCATGGTTCCCTGCACCCGGAAGATCTCGAGTTCATCGCTCACGGCCGGGTGGCATCTGGTTGGACGGATGCGCCAAGTCCCATGGGCTGGTCTGGCCGGCGTCGTCGGAAAATCAGAGCAGGGCGTGGTCCTGGGCTGAAGAGGTGTATTGCATTTCAAGGTGACACGGTGGAGAGACACGGTCTTGGTTCATCTCATTTTATTGATCAATTGAATTGCCTAGGACGCTAGACCTGCAGGCTGCAATATCCCCCCGTAGCCGTAATAGCAAGGGTGCAATCTGCGATTACCAGAATCGAGCTCATCTCCGAAATGCAATTCTTCTGTAGAAAATAAAAAGAGCAGGATTGATGTAAAATGAAACGAAATGATGATGCTCGTGGTGCAGCGACGGTTGTTCTCCAGGTTTGTGCGTGGTGGAGCGCTGAGCCAGTGTGGATTCTGGATTGCCGGCGTGGGCCGAGAGCGTCGGATTGTCGTGTCTGTACTCGAGTCAAGATAGACGTGGTGTAGGATATCAATTTAATTCTAGCTCTACTGTATGCCTCCTAATCGGATATTTCTCTGCGAATCAGATCTTCTACTCAGGATAGAATGTTGTCCTCAATGATTGCGATCTAGCGACCGTCTAGCCTGCCAGGGATTTCAATATTTCTAGACACTAAGGGGTTCGCTTAGCGTACTGTATTGTGGCTTTTCAACACTTGATGGCTAGCTGATCCAAAACATACTACAACTCACATATTGCGCGTTTCTCTTGCTGTTTGATACCTCTCACCTGTCACGCTGAACTACCCTGCGTCAATGTGCGATTTATCATCGACCCATCCCGTCGACTAAACCTGTTCCTCTGCGCTGGCCGGTCCAGGTTCCGCTGCGCTGACCGGTCCACCTTGTCGATTTGCACCTCGAGGCGAATGGCTTCGTGCGCCAGCGGTCGAATCCGAAAAGGCTGTTGAGCCTCTTCCATTTTCGTCGACCGATCCATGTCCATGCTTGGCCTCCCACTCGTCGAAGTCCTGCCCTGGGTTGACGGACTCGTATTTGAACATCCTGAGGAAGGTGTAGAATCCGCAGGCCAGCAGAGATCCGAGGAGCGGTCCGACCCAGTAGATCCAGTGATAACCGGGGAAGCTTCGGTTGATCACGTCTGGGCCGAGCGAGCGAGCGGGATTCAGCGAGCCTCCCGTATAGTAGTCACCTGTTGTCATCAGCCTCAGCATTCGGATTGTAGGAAATCAACGTACCGATCAATTCCGTGACGAAGAAAGTGAGACCGATGCCGACCGGCGCGAGGAAGGTGGACTTGTGCTTCACGACGGCCAACATGATAATGACGAAGACCAGTTGGGCTGTAAGGAACATCTCGATAAACAGACCCTGAGAGATGGATGCGCCTCCACCCAGTCGAGTTCCGACGTTGAGAGCACCCGGGAACAGAGCGCTGACGACCCCTGCGGCCGCAATGCCGGCTACAATCTGTGCAGCGAAGACAGAGACGCCTCGAAGGGGCGGCATGCCTCCGACCAGACATAGTGCCAACGAGACCTGTTCCGTCAGAGCTGAGCTGCCGTGTTGTATGGTCAAAGACTTACTACAGGGTTGAAGAGACCTCCCGTCACCCGATAAAAGGCCCAGATGTTGACCGTCAAGGAGAAGCCGAACGATAGGGCGGAATAAAGAAGGTTGGAGGTATTGGGAGGGGCACCGGCCACCGGCTTGGGTGTGTTGGAGACCTGAGTTCCCGCAAAAGAGAAGAACAGGAAGAGGAACGTGCCGACAAACTCTCCCACCACAGCAATCAGGTTGTTTCGAGTATTGTCGGCCAGACCCAGCATGGGAAGCTGACTCTGGCTGGGCCTGACAACGCGCCGCTCCTCTCCATTACGTCTACCGAACACCATTGTATTTGACTTGGATATGGAGAAGACAGAGTTCTGGTTTCAAGGATGAGGCGACGCTGGCCGTGCGATCAATACTAATGTACCAGCGTCGCCCATTTCTTATATGCTCGGCAGGACCGCAGGACATATCCTAACTTTGTTATGTCAATTACGACATGTACGGTGTCATCTATCTCGGCGTGTCCATTCAGCTTGTCTTGGTGTTCTTACATTTACTGCCAATCTTTGGGTCATGTCGGGAAGCCGCCATTTCCGGCCATCCCGGGTACCATCAAAATGTAATCGTCAATGAACAGAAGTCAGTAAGGTTCCAATGGTCGATCAGGGCCCAGACACCGGTTCGCTCAATCAATGCTGAACACCAGTTAGCACTTGGTAGAGTGGTCAATGAGAGGAGCGGATAGTATTCAGGCAGTTGACAATTGAAGTCACAGGCGAGTCTGTCAGTCATATTGTCATTGACTCATTGGATGTTGGCTTTATATTTGATTCCTCATGATCTTATTATTCTTCCGCGAACAATGGCTGGAATCAGCATAAGCAGCATCAGGGAGGGTGAGTAATTGCGCACATTGTGCTAAATCGAGGTACGTAGAACTGCAGACTATTTCTACCATTGGACTTTTAGTATCTAACACTTCAAGATTGCAGGAATCATTTGGCCTAAAAATAATCAATCTTTTGTATAATGTAATGGCATGAATTCGGCATCTTTGCAACCAAGTAGGAGGGCGAAAAGAGTGAGAAAAGTGTCGCTCCCGTTCGGGGCTGGGAAAAAGAAAAGTGGAGTTCGACCCAACAGGATACAAATTTTATATGTAGAAGCATCCTTTTCGGCTGCTTCTCAAACTTTCTATGGCTTCTACGCCTCTATAGAAGCCTCTGCGTCTGAAACCCTTTCTAAGACCGCCGCAGCTCAAACGCTGGATTCCTCGGCGTTGGGGGATCGTCAGCTACGGAGATGCCAACGGTTGTCGTAACCAATGGCGGCCTGATATCTGCTGTGTATTGGGTTCATTTCTGGACTATTAGCCTGAGTGGGTTTTTCATGAACTTGTCATATTTCCAGCTGTTTTCAATGCTTGGCCTGCATCTACAGGGTCTTGATTGCAATAACCACAAGGCTGCCACGCCAATCTGCTAATCAGCACTGCGAGCTCCTCTCATGGAATTGCTGGCATCTGAGGAATAGAGACTCGTGCCCGTTGAAATTCTTGCAATTTCTTACCAGCAAGGCAAAGCGATTCAGCAGTGTGACAGAGACACTTAGGGACCTGGGCCAAGGCTGCAGTGCAACCAGCCTGCATTGGAGTGGCTGTCATGCTGGCAGTGTTCTGAAAGATACGCATGAAACTTAAGTTTATCCCTGATACCTGATCACGAGGAGATATTTCTTTTGCTGATGAGTTGAAGAGAATAATTAGGAGATGCCAATTGAGTGCATCTAGTATCTGGTCCTGCCGTTACTTTGGCTCTTGTTCCCTTTAATCAGCGCATGTGGGCTACTGGAATTCAAGCCCTTCACGGTATGCAGACCGGCAACATATTTGGGCATCGCACAAGCTCTACACCATGTGCTGCAATGCAAGCAGCTATCTGCGGTTGCCCGCTTCGATGCGGTCTGACCGTCCGACTATAGCCCGCGGCCAGGCCGACATCATTTGGGAATAGTACATGTCCCAAACTGGTATAGCTGTTGATCGGGCAGTGATCGCCATGGCGATGTTCGGCTAAGAACAAAGACAGAAGCGTTACTTAGTCAGTTCTTGCATCGTCCATTTCTAATCACTTGAAGAACTTGCCTATAGGAGTTTGCTCCTACTGAGCTGCATTCCTGGGGCACCGCACCCAGCAAATACGCGCCCCGCAGTTTCAGCCTTTCAGGCCAACCAGTCTAAGCAATTGACTGCATGTCCCTAGGTTCACGTAGGACACTATTTATGGTCCCGATGTTCTTCCTCTTCGCGACCTCCCATCACACCCCACCTTGTTATTCATGGCAGACAATCATGCCATTTAAGCAACACAGCGGGAGAATCTACTACATGACAACCTCCTTGTATTTCACTTTGTTTTCATATTAACTGCGTGCCCACGGCAAGGTTTCGCGGATGTTTTCATCTTTCCACCACAGAATGGTTACACCGGCGAATACATATCGAATCTAGCTTTTACTGTCGGGCAGTCCATTGACATCAAGTGGCAAAGCGGTTGCGACGAGTCCATTCAGCTTTGGTTAATGAAGGATTACAATAGCGGCAACTGTCAGTTTCAGAGTGATGCGCGGTGTAGTCAAATTGCAGGTGAGATTGTCCTGCACCGGACCTGGATCTCGGCCTGGCTGTTGACATGCAGCAGACACTCCCAACAATGGCTCAATAGCATGGAATGTCAGTTTCATGGGTCTTTCAGGCGCCGGCGTCTACTACATGTATGGGTTATGCAGCGACCCGGGCTCAACACGTTTCAGCTGTCACTATTTCAATATTTCGTCCAAGCAAGTTTCAAGCTCGACAACTACCTCCAAGACCGCAACCTCTATCCTGACGTCGACGAAGCAGAGCAGTCTCCAAGACTCTACAATGACGACATCAGCTGGACCCGCGGTAGTGACGGCAAAGTCAACGACCCCGGTAGGCGCTATCGTCGGAGGGGTGATTGGGGGTCTTTTAATTATAGGATTGACGCTTATTGTGGGAACTGTATTACTGAGGAAAAGAGCACCATCTCATCCAGGCGGATATATGCCCCAGAAATGGAGAGGGAAGGCTGAGCTACCTTGTCCTGATTCAGTCCCAGGAGCAATACATCATAGCTCAAGGAATCAACCGCGTCCTCCGATTGAGCTACCGTCTTGACATGTCAAGACCATCTTTTCCATGTATTCTATGGGAACCTTGGTACATATAAGATGTTAGAGAGCCATAACTTGAAAATCAGGGACCTAGCTACCCAGGATATGAAGACGCTAAGCTTGGTTTGGCAATAAGGGACGACAGCCATGTGCCTGTAGCAGCGGTACTCGAAGCCGAGAAATTCCTGGGTCGTCGGTCCGAAAAATCCTCGCGCCGGGATCCGCTCGCAAGTGGCCTGACATTAGGTTATTCGGTTATTAATTGTTAAGTATGGCTATTAATTGCGAGAGACCAATCGAAAACGATGTAGAATAAGCCAAACTTGAAGTATGGGGCGATGGATACGGAGTAGCATGGAAGTAGACCATCTGGAGTCTGGAGAATGCCTGTGCAGTTCGAGCATTGCCGTGCAGGATTCACCTCTCGACTATTGGATAGCATCTTCTTGATAACGTTGATAAAGATGATCGACAGCTTCTTGATAGCTGGTAGTGAAACTGATTCTCAGCAAGAATACCACTGGTGGAGTCTGTTTGCTTATCTATTCCTACACGCTGGTTCCTCCGTTACTGAACTCGACTTTGCATGTTTCTGATCTCATACCAAAGCCTCCGCGGAGATGTCATTGCCATCGCTTCGGCTGCGGAAAAAATTGACCACGAGAAAATTTTCGATATGGCACGACCGCACCAGCAAGTGGCGCTGTGTATAAATACTGCAGTTTAGGCGTCAACTGTGCCTTTGATAGTTCTCGCAATAATCAGTTTTCAAATTAATCATGACTCTAACACTGGAACAAGTTCAAATCATCAAGGCCACCGTGCCTGTGCTGGTGGAGCATGGAACAACCATCACAACAGTCTTCTACAAGAACATGCTAACGGCCCATCCCAAGCTGAATAATGTCTTCAACACCGCCCACCAGGTCAGCGGCCACCAGCCTCGTGCTCTGGCCGGCGCTCTCTTCGCCTATGCCTCCAACATCGACAACCTGGGCGCTCTTGGACCTGCCGTGGAGCTCATCTGCCACAAACACGCCTCGCTATACATCAAGCCTGACGACTACAAGATTGTAGGCAAATTCCTGCTCGAAGCGATGGGCCAGGTCCTGGGCGATGCCCTCACTCCGGAGATCCTCGACGCCTGGGCCACCGCCTACTGGCAACTGGCGGACCTCATGATCGGCCGCGAGGCCCAGCTCTACGAGCAAGCCGAAGGCTGGACCGAATTCCGCGACTTTGTTATCGCGCAAAAGGTCCCTGAATCCTCGGAAATCACCTCATTCTACCTGAATCCAGTGGACGGCAAGCCTCTGCCCGCCTTCAGGCCGGGACAGTACATCTCCGTGCAGATCCACGTCCCTGAGCTCAACTACCTCCAGGCGCGCCAGTACTCTCTCAGCGACATGCCGCGGTCAGACTACTACCGCATCAGCGTGAAGAAGGAGCCCGGCCTGAACCCCGCCGAGCCCGGCGCAAAGGCGCACCCGGGCTACGTCTCGAACATCCTGCACGACTTCATCAATGAGGGCGACACCATCAAGGTCTCCCATCCGTACGGCGATTTCTTCCTCTCCGACGCCAAGGCCGCCAGCCCCGTGGTCCTCATCTCAGCCGGCGTCGGTCTGACCCCCATGACATCGATTCTCAACACTCTGACCGCCGAGTCCCCAGAGCGCAAAGTCAGCTTCATCCATGGCGCTAGAAACGCACAGGCGCGTGCGTTCAAGAACCACATCACCACCCTCGAGAAGAAGCTGCCCAACCTCAAATCGACCTTTTTCACCAGCCACCCCACGGAAGAGGACAAGGAGGGCGAGGATTACCAGTACCGCGGCCGTGTGGATCTGAGCAAGTTGGACGGCAACGTGGATTTGTTCCTTGATGATGCCGCGACGGAATACTATGTCTGCGGACCCGACACGTTCATAACTGACATGCGGAATGTTCTCAAGTCCAAGGGCGTGAGCGAGGACCGGGTGAAGCTGGAGCTGTTTGGAACCGGCGGTGTTCCTCATTGATTTCGTATTGATACCTCATTGCGTTGCATGTATATAGATAGATCATCCCTACTCACGATTTACGACTTGGATAATTTCATCAATGTCTAGAACTCTAGATATTTTCAACATATATGACATCATCCGCAGCAGAGTACGCAGCGGAATACATATTCCGGTACTACCAATGCAACTATAAAAGCCATCTCACTCTACCCTGCCCTCATCGTCCAGACTACAATACAACGTAAATAAAATGTCCCACCTAACCTACTACAACTACGACGGCGTCGGCAAAGCCAATCAATCCAAATTCAAATACAGTCAAGCCGTCCGCGTCGGCGACCGCATCGAATGCGCCGGACAGGGTATCCCTTCCACTTCCCCTATATTCATCGGACCAACTGATCAATATGAAGGAGGCTGGGACCCCAGCACAGGAACCATCCCCCGCGAAATCAACGCGCAGATCGACCAAGCCTTCGCCAACGTGGACATGAATCTACGGAACGCAGGCGGCGAGGGCTGGAGCCAGGTGTACCGGGTGAACTCGTACCATGTTCCGATCAACGACGAGGCGCTGGAGGCGATGGTGCGGAATTTCCATAAGTGGGTTCCGGGGCATGAGCCGATTTGGACGTGTGTGGGGGTGACGAGGTTGGGGGAGGATGATATGAGGGTTGAGATTGAGGTTGTGGCTCATGGCCAGCTGCAGGAGAGTGGGGATGCTCTATTAGCTCCGTCTAAGGGGTTTGACTTTGTGAACGAGGAGAACACGGCGTTTCTACCTCAGTACGAAGAAGGTCTGTCGTCGACGATTGGACTTCCTCCTGCTTTGGACTCCTTACCGGTTGATTACGGGTTGTTTGAGGTGTTGAATCAGATGAATATGGATCGGATGTGGTAGTCAAGGTCGATTCAACTTGTCCGGCCACCCAAATGACAACTCTTGGATTACCGCAGAGTCAAGCTACATACCGATATAATCTAATTGTATATAAAGAATCCATTTTGGTAAGCTCGCAAGATTATATAGCCAACATGCACGACCGTGCATCCGACTCCCATGGTGAAGAGATCTTCTCATCTTGCAATTTCCATGGTCATCTACCGGTACAATAAAGCTGCCCTCAGTCATGCCATCTTTGGCCTACAATTAGTATCTGAATCATGCTTTTGAATCCAAGGAAACCTAAAACCACGTGGTAATACGAGCCTGCTTGCAGCGTCCTACAATCTCGCCAAGCTCCTCAGCCCCAGCCGTGACTCACATGAGAACAACTCATCGTTATAAACAACTGCAACTCTCTCAAAATCAACTCATCATATATACTTCTACCCATGCCAAAGAAAAAGACCAAACAGAAGAACCCCAGGGCCCCACCCGTCCCGCCCCAGGATGGCTCCGACGAATGCAGCTGCACCTGCGGCTGCGAATGCCACGCGCCCCCATCAACCGGGATGCCGATCCACATTCTCTCAGACGTCTGTCACCGCAAAGGATGGCACGAACCGGAGTATTCAATGGTAACACACTGCACTACCTGACAAACCACCAAATCCACTCGCTGACCATGTGGTATCAGACACAATCTGTGAATGGCTACCTAGCCACAGTATCCCTGAGAAACACATTACCCAGCGGTGAAAGCATCGTGCTCCCATTCGAGGCGCCGGGTAGTCTCCGCGCAGCGTTCACTGATACAGAGGAGATCGCGAAGAACAATATGGCGATGTATGTCCTCTTCTGCGTAGGTGAGCACAACTCGGACCTGCCGCGGGGATGGCGCGGTTTGTGGAAGAGGGAATTTGAGAAGATCAAGGCGCGTGATATCAAGGAGGGGAGGGGGTGGATGTATTCGGGTGATTTGTTTCGGGCGTATAAGAGTTGGCAGGACTCGCTGTTAGCGAGTGATTAGAAGGAGAGCAAGACTACACATGTCGCGAACTGGTGGCTGGGCGAGGTATAGACCGACATGCGCTTATGCTTTACAAATAATCATTTACACTCCCTCAAGTGAAACCCCCCAGCCACCACCATCAACAAAAGCCACATCCACAGCCACTTCCACCACAGGACAAGGCTCTTCCTGTCGATCCAATGGGTGAATTCATGCATCAGTCTCTCGGATCCGCTTACGGTGCTTTCGGACGAACTTCAACATGTGAGAGACGTCTCCTGTCTGCTCCCGGCGTGCAAGGCGGGCCCGAACAACACGTGGGGTTTCAGATAGCTTCTTAGGCATTGATGATCTGGTGGTGGTAACAGTTGGTCAAATGGCAGTTGCTTAACTGAGCAGCAGTTAATAAAGATTCTGATTCCAGTGCTTCACGGATTTCAAGGTACGTTGCCTCTTCTTTGATATGCAAATCAGGCCCAGCAAGATCAAATGAATGGTGGTGACTGGTCAGTTTGTACTTTTCCTCCAGAAGCATTCAGCCACCAGCGGGTGTCGCTGGTCAGCTTGCCTCGGGTCTCTGAGGAGGCACTCTCCATCAGTGCTGAAGGATATTGTGGTGGTAGACCTTGTATATGGTTGTCCGGTGGTATTCAAGGGTGATGATGATGCTACAGTAGAGCTACTGCGTAGTGAGGTAAACCTAGTCACACGTGATCCACCACATAAGGGGTTACCATGAATCATGATACCCTATTGCGTATACGGGTTGGTTCCTGGAACATACTATAGTGCCTCATCCAATCAAACCGTTTCGGTAGCGTCGTCTTCTATGGCATCAACTTTCGTCATATGCAGCATATTCCGGAACTGTTCAAAATCAGACACAGATAACGGCTTGGTTAGGCCGTCAGCTCTTGCGTACGATATCAAACGCGTTGTCACTATCCGTGTATATCGGGGTCGACAGATCAGACGTATCGAAACGTAGTGCTCTCAATAGTTTTCTCAACCAAAAAGCCTCTTTGATCACGGCATCATATGCGCAGTATTCTGCTAAGATAGTCTCGCGTATCAACCGTCAAGGACTTCCGCGTGTAGTTGGAGGTGTGGGCCGAGTGCCCGTGGAAAAGCAAGATCTTAAAGGCGTCACCACCTCAGTCTCCGCCTCCACCCTAGGGATCAGTGCTCTTGCCACGAAGCGTCGCGGCTGCCTCGACCCAATATGAGTGGTTTGGATCATCCTCCTCCTCGTCCGAAGCCAACGCATTGGCCTCAGCCTCTTCGAGCAAGGTGATCTGCTGCTCGACGCTGTCGACGAAACGTAGCAGATCGCGGCGAGCGACACGAAGGGAAGGTAGGCGCTCGAAGGTAGCAACACCAATTGGCCAGCGCAACATGTCTCCGTCGAGGGGATTCCGTTTGAGCTTCTTCGAAGGAGTCGGGGACGGTTCGTCATCTGCGCGGCGACGTTTACCCTTTAGGTCCGAAGGAGTCGCGACCTACGAACGGGTCTCAAGGGGGAGAAGCGAAGCGCTGCTCCGACGGCGAAGGAAAGAATTACTTCGAACTCATCAGCTATGAACATCCAACGTGATAGAGCTCGCGGTCAGCTCCGTCAGCCAGGTGTCCACCAGGGCCGAATGACAGAGGATTAGGGTCGGTTTATGGGTGTGCATTGGGTATTTGGCTGCACGAATCGATGCGTACCAGAGAAGTGTTATCGTCGAGGTTGTCTTGCCGGTGCCGCAGGCATCAGCAAGGATGCCTCCGGCGACAGGGCTTGCTTCTTGTCGAAGCATCCAACATGTCCCCGTAACTTGCCACTTCTTGAGTGTCGTGCATGCCTGCATCATATTTGATGGCACTACAAGAACCGGGCTCAGTGGATCCAGGGCGAGTTCCTCGCACGCGGTGTTGTATGGAGGCGCGTCCGCAGACAGTGACATGCGCCCCTTGACGTCGTCGACTTCAGCCTCGGCAGTTCGCTCTGGCTCGGTCTCTGCCTCGTCAGCGGCAAGGGTAATCAGCTCGGTCGCCTGGCTGGCGGCCGCCAGGCGATTGAGGAAAACCTGGGTGTCCGAGGGGCCCACAGAGGTATCGTCAGGTTCGTGGAGGATGAGCTTGCTCTCGAATTCATTCATTCCAATATATGGGTGCACAGAAGCCCTCGCTCCGCTGCGGTCGTCGGGCCGTCAAGAGCTCGCTCGTCAAAATGCACGCACCATCGTTCATCAAGAAGCCACCTGGGGGACAGCAATCATGGGAAACAGAAGGCAAGGGTCATACATTATCCATGATGTAGTCCCCCCAGTCTTTGCCGAAGAGACGCCCTTGCGTGAGAGGATGTTGATTTTTTCAACGTTATAGTGAAAGTGCGCAAGATGGTCAGCTGCATCCCAATCATCTTTTTGGGTCGTATGGTGCTATACTTCAGCATACCATGCGCCTCACCACTGAGTATTCTGTTTTGGATGTCGCCGATTCCCTTTCCTCGCTCTTTCTCTTGTGCCTTGTTCAAGTGATCATCCCACAGTTCTATCCACCACGGCTTTACCATGTCTGAACGCAGCCACTCAAGCCATTCGTCATTATCATGATGGTTCGGTATACCATACAAGTTTCCATACTACGGGAAGTTGTATTGGTAGACTCCATGGACGGCTGCGTAGAGCTTGGTTGCGCGGGAGCATTCAGCTCATCTTCGCTGTCTGGTTGTGCCTGCTCTTGAGTTGCTGTTTGGTGCGCCAGGGAGTGTGGCATCAGCGCTTCTCGCAGTCCCTGCTGCTCAACAGTCGAAGCCACTTCGTTCCAGAAGGATGTGGTTGGACGAAGGAAGATTGGTAGCGACGGGCTCCGCCTCAAGAATGATTCGGTTGATTCCATGGATGAGTCGAAGGGAAAATCGGAATGTCCGAGTATGCTGCCTTGGTTTGAGCCCTCTCGACGGCGGTGCGCCGACGGCGAACACTCGATGACGGAATTGGTTTCTCTTCGGAACTATCCCTTCGAGAAAGTCGTCTGTTCTTTCCGAAGCGCTCAGTGCTCATCGCCTCGTTGGATTTTCTCCTTGAAAGTCAGCTGTGAAATATTCATTGTTAGTGTCATCAGCTCACCTAATGGTACGATCCTCCATATTTCATCTACTTGGTCGTACACCACCCCTGAAGTCGAGTGAGTTTACTCAGAGCTGGAGTAACAGCCTCGCAAGATTGTTGAGGCCCTTATTTGAGCCAGCGATAAGCAGGACCTTTAGGTCCAACTCTATAAGCAAGAGGATGATGACCACAACGGTTCTTGGTTTCCCTGTTCCAGCGGCCCCTGTATCGGGTTGACACCGCAGGTGATCTCAAACGTTGGCTTTAAGAATGCTTGGTGCTGAGCCTCATCCAGGGGGAGATTTTCCCATTTATAGGGAATCCTCCTGTCTTGTTGCTTTGGAGGAACCTCTGACATCTGCAGGCGTCAAGAAGAAAATAGAAACTCGCTGGCCGAGCAATCAAAGCCGATATAAGATTTGCATCCCGAGAGATGTTGAGCGTGACCCACCAATCTTCGTCAGTGCTAGGCATCTTGGGGTCGCCGGGGAAGACATTGTATCCGTGGGATTCTTCATGGCCAAGCGTATTGTAGATCCCCAGGTGTGTCTGTTCGTGGGCCTGGCTGGCTAGCATCCTGGCAATAATGTTTCGGAGCTGTGGGAAGAAGTCACTGTATGAATGGCTGTGTGGCTCGTCAAAATCTTGCAAGAAAGTATGCTGGGACTGGGCGAAGCCCTATCATGTTCCGAAGAGCTGCTCGACGAAGACTCAACCCGCGAGACCTGGCCACGCGCATTCTGGACGACATCTTCGGCGGCATTTTCTGTTTTTAGCCCTCGTCTGCATCTCTTATCAAGGCATATTCAGGCAAATAGTCCATGCATGTTCTCCATTCTTGCTATAGATAGTTAGAATCTAATCTAACTTAAGTTAGAAAATACATACCTCATTAAGAATCAGTGATTTACTACTTTTGGAATGAGTAGCTTGTGATCTTATGCTTTTCCCGGTATTCTGTCTGTTTCTCTTCGACTACTGTTGATAGAACAGCGCTCTCGACCCACGTCAGTTCTGCAGGCACGACGGCAACAGGCCAGCGTCACGAAAGGAACACTCACCGAGGACGAATCGAATTTTCCGACCTGACTCACCTCGACCGTTCTGGAACAAAGAACTCGTTTTCTCAGGCATTCATGGAGGGTGGACAAGTCGTACTCAGTTCTTTTGAAGCTGAACCTGTACTTGGCGAGTCTTTCTAACTCCATATCCCTGTTGGGCGTGGAGTCATAAATGACTGTGATATAAGATGACTGGGATGTAACTATTTGTGTGTTCTTTTCCACCACGCCATCCAGGAAATCTATTAGTGACTTCATTGCGCTGTGTCTGTTCGATACGCTCTTTTCGTGGAGCAGTCGTTGGAGAGGAGTAGTTAGGGTGTCGCGTGCCGAATTGCCCCATGCCACGTAATGTTGCAATCTCGCGCGTGGCTTCTTCGACCCCTGTGTCGATATCTCTGAATGAGAACGCAGGTGCTTGGAGACCAGAGGAGTGATCTGTGTCCGGACACATTTTTAGCCCAGTGGTATTATATTGCGGTACACTCCCCATGGACATGGGAGTCAGATGACCTGTTGTCTCAGAGGTTCTGCCTCGGCAATGGATTTGACCAAAACCCCGTTAACCGCACTCATATTGATAAGAGGCTTGTTCAGCGATACTGTCTTCTCGAGTTTTTTAGTGTTGCTCGGTGATCGGGGTGTCCCCGTCGAAAGCTGCACGCAGTATGCACTCCATAAGTTATGACTGAGAAACCTGCGTCCGGGTGCTGCGGGCGAAAATGGCGACGACGCTTGATGAATATCAGCACAAACGCAACATATGCACAGGGGTACTTACAGCAGGCTGATTTCCCAGGTGCTGCCCAAGCATCTGATCATCGTTCACCACTTCACCACCGTCGCAGCTAGGTATATTATCAGCATCCGTTCAACATATTCACAAACAAGCCAAACTTATACAAGACCACTGATAGTCAAGATATCACTTCTGGGGTGGTCTCACATTCAATCCATACGTGATGGGCGCCGTGGATCCAGTTGGATATTATGCGCAGCCACAGTGTGCTCATCACCGTGTTGTAATTTCTCTAAATCACCTGAGCTTGTTGATATTTGCTCGCCACTGGCGTCACAAAGACTCCTGTGCCCCGCTTGGATTGCGCTCGCAGACGTTCTCTGATCTCATAGGCCGGGATTGTATTGTCGCCGTTGGTTTTGAATTTGGTGGTGATTGCCGCCTGAACTTCCAACGCCGTGGCTAACGGACCTGCATGCGGAGTTGGGTTGGGATCGTAGGTACCGACAGTAAGGTGTAATCCGTTGCTGTGTCCGACCTGGTTAGCAAAAGGACTGATGGATATCCGCATCAATCACATACAACACTAAAGCTCGGTCAAAGTCAATGATGTCTCCGTTGATAGTAGTGTTGATCCATTGCAGAAACTGGTCGTGGTAATTGCGCCGGAAATTCCGATCGCAGGCGGGATCGTAGTTCACACGGACAGGCATCTCGAAGACCTGGACGATGGCGCTTATATCGAGTAGTTTTGTCAATTGAACAGGAAATATGTTTGAAAAGCGCGCTGGAACTCCCTAGGGTGCGACGATAAAGAGAGAGCCTGCCTTGAAGGCAGCGAAGCCTACCAGGACATTGTGTCTGATGGTATAGTTGCAGACATGTTCAAGCAGAGCAACAGCCGCAGACACAGCATGTATCGTCGTTCAGTAAAGCCTCAGCGATCCCATACGGCTGTTTGGCGGTCATGGGACCTCCTCGTTTGCTAGACAGTAGGATCCAAGCAGGACACCCCGGGAGAGAGCGGGAAGATGATGGGCTGCATAGGAGTCTGAATTAGTGAATAGAAGATGGCGACATTTCCCGGAAAGAAGCGGCTTTTATGTCAGATCATCAGGGAATGAGTGAATGGAGCTATCAAAGAGTGGTAATTCTGAAAGAGTGAATAGAATCCATGCTGAGAAGAGGACAAACATTGATGGGTTCAGGGAATAGCCCTTCTGCTCGCATTCAAGATGCTATGGGCCGGAAGTGGGAGGCCTTACCTAGAAAGAGAATGAATACTGTGCATGAATGTAGCTCCAGAAATGTCAATGGATAGTTGCACTTTGCTACCTAGAGTGTCTCATTAGAATGTAGGACGGCACAAACAAACGGTAGGGATTCCTTATGCCATGAATCAGAACCCCTGCACTAGCATAAGTAGGTACTTTATGGCAATCCATTCAGTAAGTAGAGAATCATGACAAGAGTGGGGGGAAATAATTTCCTGTAATCAACATGCAGAAATCCGCAAACTGTAATGGTGAGATGATGGTGGGTTGCAAGTGACAGGAAATGTTTGTGGGATTAGCCGTTTGCATTTGGTTTCCTATCAGACTGGCCTTTCTGAGTGCATGAATGGTTTGCTACAGGCAATAGCGGCGAGAGTAAGGATAGTTGAGGAGCGTCATCAGGGGTGTAGAGGTTAATGGTGCTATATTCCTGAGAACTTGAGGCCTACGAGGTGAGGCGAGCATAGACTGGCATCCCAGCTAGTCGTGAAGCAGAGGACGAGGTAGACCTGGTGCCTGACTCTAATGGTGGGGACCTGGTGCCTAAGGACTAGGATGTAGACGTATGGACTATGGACATCACCCCAGGAGCTTGAGCTCGAAGCTTCAACTTGGGAGCCGGAATCTAGTAGGAAGCCTGACCACACGTCAGACATAATTCCTTGTCCAAAGCCGTGACATAGCAAACACTTAGCCTTAACACAAGGCGCCTAGTAAGGACTCTTGGGCATGCTATTGGTTATGGAAAGACTGTTGGCAAAAGTGATGGAGGAAATGATGGAGGATACGTTTACGACAAGATGCAAATAGCGGGGTAGGTAGAATCCCTGCTCGACAGTATAGCTCCATGTCCGCAAGTTCAGCATACAGATACAGTCGCGAGGCCATCATCATGTCTCTTCTCTTCTCCTTATCGTCCCCGTTAATATCTTGGTTTACGTCCTCCCGATTTCCCTCTCGTCGCCCGTGAGCTGACCTTGACCAGACTTAGAAGCTACAGTCTCCAAAATCAACAATTTTTCTCCAGTCTCCCTGAGATCCGTTTCATTAAAAGACATCTTTACCTTTAAATTACGAAACTTTCTTCTTTCGGCCAGGCTTGTACTGGCTATCTATTGAAATTGAACATGTACGCAGAGTGAGCATGAATGGAGTCTCAACTAATCTAAACTGATTAGTTTATACCAAGGACGCAGCCGTATAGTTCCTGGAATAAAATGAGCGACCGAAGAACCGGCCAAAACAAAAAGGATTCTGGAGAAGAGTACGTTGGCGAAGCTGTTGTGGGCATCCGGGCGGACGTCAACACGATCAAGCAGTTGACATCCTCCTCCGAAGCTGCCAAAGCACACAGAATGGCATCTGCGGTCGCAGCCCTCGAGAAAGCTGCGCAGGCGGCAATGGGAGATTCTAAATCTGGTGGAAACCAGAAGAACAACTGAATCACAGGATATAAGAACCTGTCATGACTATTCGCATCAGCACCAGTGACACCGAGCAGTATACCCATCAACAATTGGCGGAACTGCGGAGAGCACCAATATTACTCGGGGGTTTACCATCCTGCGCATCTAAGACATGAGGTTATGTTTAATTGTTGTCATGATGTTCCATATAAACCAAAATAAGCCATATGTTACTTAGTAAAGTCATTGATCACCTGTTCAGACTTATGCAGAACCAAAAGACCCAGTTACACTGGTCTATCCATCTTCCGATTTGCAGTCCTTGTGATCCATAAGATAACCACAAATCCTCAGGCCTGGAATGCTTCCTGCAGTTGCAAATCATATTTTTCCTTATCTTTAACCTTTTCATGCATAAAAGGAATCGCTCCTTCCCTCCAATAGTTCATGGTGATTCGGAAGAAGTCGCCGTCGTCGATATGTCCCTCCGCGAACCTTGTCTGAATTCGGTCGTAGAATAACTGGTGGATACCTAGAGGGCTTCGTAGACAGATGCTGTACCAGAAAGTTCTCGTCTTCCATCCGTTTTCCATGACTGATGAGAGTGATATGTGGCCGGCTTTGGCATGGAGTACTTCCTCTTGATCTCGTAGAATGCCCATAAATTCTTCGCGGACCTTGTTGTACAGCTCCAGGTCTATTTTGTCGACAGGCTGATTTGTCAGCCAGGTCGGAGGATGCAGCATTTCAATCGGACGCGAGCACGCCCATTCTAGGTCAATCACACATTTGATATTCCAGTTGTCGTCAACAAAAATATTACTTGGATGGAGGTCAGTCAGCTGAAGGATGAAAGGACCACGACGGAGTTCACGTTGAAAGAAATGGGCGAATATGGTTTTCATCATTGTCAAGGCCGTGACCTGGTAAATACAGTCCTTCAGATCCATGGCTGCATTAGGCTGATGTTGCATGCGGCTGTCGTGGCAGGCAAGAAGATCGACCACGTAAGAGTCAACCGTCGAATACGTGAAGCTCCGAGGCATATCTAGTGGGATATGCTCATTTTCAAGCTCGTGGATCTCGGAAGATAGAGGCCGATTTGACAAACTCAAGTAACCGCCGGCATCAATGACAAAAGATCCGATCCTCGGCAGCGGAACACGAGCAAGAGATAGAAGGATCTTGCTCAGATCTCGAAAGAGATTCTTTCGCAATCTTTCCTCGCCGTGTTTCTCGCTCCACGTGTTTGAAAGCATCTGGCCATCCTCGATGAAGTCTATCAGAAGATAGCCTGTTCCCAGATCATGAGGGATACGGTTAGGGTGAGGCACATAACGCGTCGGAGTTTGATACCCAAAGAATGCCAGCAGGCGACAGCGGAGCGAATGAATACATCGGGTAAAAAATGACATGTTCTCGACAGCCGTAAACTGCCCTGAGTTAGTGAATCTGCGACGTCTTAGCGTTCTGTCATACGTACACATTGCCCTGTTGATAGCCCGAACCCATATAGGCGTGGTATAGGGACGGAAGGGCACTCCTGCTGCAGCCATGCATATGTTCCGGCCTCGCAGCGAAGCTTCTCATCCGTATTTCCAGGTCGGAAAGCTTCACCAAGTCGATAAGGTAGCGGAAATCTGATTAGTATCCTTTTCTTAAGGGCTCGTCCAGATTTGCCGATGTGCACGGGAATACAAAGATTGAAGCTTCCATGTAGCCACTCATCTGGCTGGGAAACTTGACAAGCTTCCCCTGAGCGAAGATTAAGATGATGAGACACTATTGCCTCAATCAAGTGACGATGTTGATATACATGGTTGAGGAACTTGTTCCTCTGAGACACAAAAGTCAACTTATGGAGGATATTACTCTGATCTTCTTTGGCAGCAGAGTATGTAATCTCCTGTTGCAGAAGCTGAAGAGTTTTTGGCATCTCTGCTTCGTGATGGCAGTGAATTGTAGGGATCAGGGGTACTGTATGTGACCAGTTGGACAGAGCAAAGGGATATGCACGTGACAGTAATTGAAAAGCCTTGAGCCTTGGCAACCTTTCGGTGGTGCCTCAGGATGGAATATTAATGGGAATTCATCTGAGTACTCCGTATTAAGGGGGTTCTTCGGCCCTCAATGATAATGATGCACTGCGAGCTGCGCCAGTGATATCAGTCATATCACGGGGTCTAAATCTTCCTACTAAAATATAAGGCACGCTATGAATGCTACGCTTGGCTCCACAAGAACCACCTACCACCAACCCCCTACGTCGTTGCGAGTCGCGACTTGGCCAAAACTAAGCCTTCGCATTTGGGGTCGCGCTGCCATCTCAACGAAGACCGACATCTTAATAATGACTCCTCAAAAATTCGTATATCTCGTATTATCTACCATTTTGGAGGATTTAAATCTGAAAGAAAATTATACCAAAAATTACTCTCCGAATGACATTCGGGGATATTGATTAACTAATCATCTATATCAATAGATTATTTATTGTATGTAACAGAGACACCCGCAGCAAGGAGCCTGTGGGAATTGACTTCCCTCTGTACTTGATCTCAATTACCGCAACAGCCGGAGCCGCAAGTACTCCTGATGCAGTGGTATGAGGAGCGGTTTCGCCAGCATCAACCTGCATCTCTGAATCAGAACTAGGAAGATTTTTCTGCTCAGAGACATCAGCTTGAGAGAGTGAGAACGGGTTGCATGGGAGGCTGAGATAGTAGAAAGCGGAAGATCATGGTCATTTACTGAGAAGAATCAGCTGTCAGAGAATCAGGGAATAAGTCTAAGAGCTGTGAATAGAGCTGGTAAACAGTGGTAAATTATAAAAAAGTGAACGAAATCCAAGCTGAGAAGAGGACAAATACTGACGATGCAGGGAATTCATAATGGATTAGTAGAAAGATCGCACCAGCCCCCATCAGGCATCAGCACAACAACCTTCCTGTGGCTGTGGGCCGCACGCGTCGGCAGCTCCCGCAAGGTGGGGAGGCAACAGTAGATCCACAGGCTTTTTAGGGTCAGACGATTCTCGACCAGACCATGAGAAGTAAACACTAATGGACTCTGGCTGTGAGGTGTACTCCTGGGAATCCAAAGATGGGGCCGAAGACGGAACTGATGCTTGAATGAGGGAATGGAAGAAAACAAAGAGACGCATCAATAAATTAGGCAAGACTCGTGTGACCTGGGGGAGATTTATCTAACCAATGTTACAATCAGAAGTCAAGTCTACCAACACCCACCCCATCGTGATATACTTAATGACTGTATAAATAAGTTCATCATGCAGGTCTCTTTTCTATGTTCACATCCCTTTCGATAGGCTTCATGCTAGTTCTCCCCGGATCGTCGGCAATCAACCTCGTTTTTGTCAGTGCTAAATATGTCTCTCGCGTCCACGACACACAGACCCGATTTGTATTGACAATATTAGGGTCTTAATAACCGATCTCCAAGGCAGGTTACATGAACACGAAGAATTTTGGGTCTGAAATGAGCCCTATTGTGTTGATCCTCGTGTTCGCGTATCCGCAACAGGAACAACTCGTATCCAGCTAAACATAGTTCTGCCAAGAAAGAAGTCATTTCAACAAGCATCCATGCTACGACTATATAAGGGGTGATGGAAACTGCAGGAGTCAAGGTCGATGGTCTAACAACGCACCATGAAGTCCATCTTCGCCTTTACCAGTCTCCTCTCTCTCTTTCTCCCTACCATTGCCGCAGACCCCCGTCTCTGCACTAAAGGCAATGGCCCTCTCACGGCGTCAGCCTTTACCCTCCAACAGACCAATGACAACACGCACCTAGCCTCACTCTCTCATATATTCTCCTCTGCCGGCAAAAATGTCAGCATCCCTCATGTCCTTGACTCTGCCAACCGTGACCTTGCCGCGGGGAAGCCTCCCGTCGGGACGAGCCCCGTCGAAGCCTGGAAATGGAACTCCGGCGACATGGCGACTACCAAATGGGTACCTCAGGGGATCACCGGTTCCGCTGATGCCTCAGCCTCGGGAAAATGGGACGGCCGCGAGGTGTGGCTTGTTAGCTGGCACCGCGACGACGATAAAAGCGTGCGCGTGAGCTTTGTCGACCGCAAGACGCACAAGTACCGCCATGTGCTGCTGGTGGAGCCCACTGCCGACGATAACTTTGCTGCCGTGCCAGTCCATGCGGGCGGGATTGCATGGTACGGAGAGTGGTTGTATGTTGTGGATACGTCGCACGGGATCCGGGTGTTTGATCTGAGTAAAATCTGGCAGGTTGAGGATGGTGATGATGTTGGAAACAAGGGCGGAAAGTACTCTGCGGCGGGATACCTCTATGTCCTTCCTCAGATTCGGTACGTTGCTTTTTTGCTATGGTTGGATGATCGTTATTGACACCGACAGATCCTACAAATGGACACCGGGGTCCTCGTCTCCCTTCCGCTTCTCCTGGGTCTCTCTCGATCGCAGCGACAACACGCTGTTGGTTGGCGAGTTCATCAGCGACTCATCCAAAGACCCGATCCGTCTTGTGAAGTACCCACTCGACAGCAGCACCGGCAAGCTCAAGACCGATGACAAGAGCATTGTCACCGCCACATGGGCGTACTGTGCCGATTTCCTGCGCATGCAGGGCGGCTTCTCCTACGACAACACATTCTACCTCTCGCGCAGCAATGGACGGTCACCCAAAGCCGGGGATATGTTCAAGTGGAAGCCTGGAAAAGCAGCGGAATTGCGTAATGGATGGTTCATGGCGGGGAATGAGGATTTGAGCTATAACAAGGTGCGCAAGGAGTATTATACCGTGACGGAGTATGATGGGGAGCGATTCATTCTAGCCTATAACAAGATGTAGCCAGCGACTGTATTATATCATTGGTCCCTGAATGGATCATCCTTGGAGCATCACGATTTGTAATCCGCGACGGAACCATCATATCACAAGCAGACTGACAGCATCAAGACATCAGACATCAGCATTTGCACCAATGTATTATAGGAATTATCTCCAGACCATATATCCAGGCCATATCCTTGACTGCATACAAGAAAGCCAATTGTCCCAATTGATATATAACTAAGGTCCCTCAGCCCGACGATATCCACCACCACATTACATCATAGCCATCAACACAAACGCAACAAGATGAGCCAGAAAATCGGCATCTTCCCAGCCTCCGGAGGCCTAGGAACAAGCATCATCAACCACCTCGTCAAGCTCGTCCCCGCCTCACAGCTCATCCTCATCGCCCGCAACCCCGAAAAGCTAGCCTCGCTCTCCCGCGAGGGCGCAACAATCCGCCGAGCAGACTACGATGACCACGCAACACTCGAGCGCGTCTTCGACAACGTCGGCGTACTGATGCTGATCTCCTACGCCTCCTTCGAGATCCAACACCGCGTAGAGGTACGCCCCCCTCGACCTCAATCCTTTACTGAATGAGCTAACGCAAAACAACCAGGCCCACAAAGCCGCCATCGACGCCGCCCGCCGCAGCGGCGTCAAACACATCTTCTACTCCTCGCTCGCCTTCGCCGGCGACCTGGGCGAGTCCAGCCTCGCGCACGTCATGGGCGCCCACCTCGCGACGGAAAAGTACCTCGCCGAACTCCCCGGCCACTTCACCTACACCGCCATCCGCGAGGGCATCTACTCCGAGTCCTTCCCGATCTACACCGCGTGGTTCGACCTGCACAATCCAGTCGAGGAGATCACGATTCCGCACCCGGGGACGGGGCCGGGGGTGGCCTGGGCGAAACGCGACGAGCTGGGCGAGGCTACTGCCAAGATGGTATATGCGTATGCGAAGAACCCGTCTGGCTTCCCGTATCTTAATCGGGTGGTGCTGCTTTCTGGGCCGAGGGAGGTGAGTTTGCAGGAGACGGCGGAGATTCTGGGGCGGGCGGTTGGGAAGCCTGTGCGGATCCGGGAGATCACGGTGGAGGAGTATGTGGCGTTGCCGCAGATTAGGGATAAACATACGTACCGCGGGGTGAATCTCTCGAGGGAGTGGGCGACGGCGTGGGAGGCGATCCGGGCGGGGGAGACGGCGGTTGTATCGCCTGTTCTGGGGGAGATTCTGGGGAGGGAGCCGGAGGATTTTGAGACTACCATTCAGGGGTTGGTTAAGGGTAGACAGTAGACCTGCAAAACACTCGGTGCTAGTTGGACTTTCTTCAGGGATATGGTTTCTGAGCAGTCGTCCTCGGGTCAATATCGCATCTGCCAGCTCCGATGCCTTGCAGTGCTTCTGTGGGCTAGCTAAAGGAAACCCCTTATTGCATAGACTCACTTGCATCTTAAGCACTGGTGACTAGCGACTCAATTTTACCTGATACGGCATCCACGTTCATAGTGCTGAATGAGGGAACACCAGGGATCATCACATGACAGCCGAGTAACAGCTCAAGACTACTGAAGTATCAGCATGGCCATTGAGGGGGTAGAGAATTGTCTCTTTTAGTGATCAAGCATTACTCGGTATACCATACTACCATGCACAAGCCGAAGTGATG